CAGTTGCTTCCATGTTTTTGCAATTACTGATTGTGCTGCTATGAACATAGGGGTGCATGTAGGTTTGTTGTCAAGCAAGTGTTTTGGATATATTCCTAGCAGTGCTATTGCTGGATCATATGGTATGCAGATTTTGAGTTGCTTGAGTGTTCTCCATACTAATTTCCATAAAGGCTGTACCAACCTGCAGCCTCACCAGTAGTGGAGTAGGGTTCCCTTTTCCCCACATCCTTGCCAAAAAGTATCGTTGGTGTTCTTTTTTATGTGGGCCAATCTTACTGGTGTTAGGTGGTACCTCATCGATGTCTTAATTTGGATTTCCCTTATTGCCAGGGAATGTCTAAATTTGGATTTCCCTTATTCCTTTAATGCTCCAGGGAACTGGAGCATTTTTTCATGTTTGTTTGCCATTTGGGCTTGTTCCTTTGTGAAATGTTTGCCTATTTCCCGTGCCCATTTCTTGAGTGGCTTGTTTGTTTTGGTGTTTTGATTGTTTTGGAGTTTTTTTGTATATTCTAGAGATTAGCCCTCTGTCACCTACATAGTGCGCAAAGATCTTCTCCCATTCTGTGGGTTGCTTTTTTACTTTGTTGATTGTTTCCCTTGCTGTGCAAAAGCTTCTTAGTTTGATGAGGTCCCATTTGTTTAGTCTGGTCTTGATTGCTGTTGCTTTTGGTGTTCTTTTTAGGAAGTCAGGACCTACTCCTAGATCTTGCAAGGCATTTTCAACATTTTCTTCCAAGTGTTTGAAGGTTTCTCTATTTTTCTTAATACTTGTTATCAGTACGGTTTAAGATTTTACCACGTTAAGGAAGTATCTCATTTTGTTCTTAGGTCTTAGTCTATGATAACTCTGTGCTGGTCAGACAGCTGATCTTTAAGACATGCTAAGAACTACCTGTTATACATGCATGTCATGCTGATAATCATTCACATATAATCATGTTGACTCACGTTTTTTCTTCCTCATCACAAAAACTATTTGAAAACAGGCTCTATTAGGAGTGCCAGAGGATAAATGCTGGTAAATAGAAAAATGAATGGATATGTGGACAAATAATGCTACCTGGTACTAACTGAGCTCTCCCTTGTGGTAGGAACTGTGTGTAGATCTTTATGACAGTACAATTTCATATAGTGGAAGAATAAGAGTTATACTCCCCATTTTACAGGTAAAAAATGGAACCTCACAGAAGCAAAGTAACTTGTTGATGATCTCAGCTAATGAGCAGGAAGGGCCTGCAGATCAAACCCAGATCTGTGCAAATCTAGAGCTCATGCTTACCTACCATTTCATGCTACTCCACAGCACCACATCATCCCCCAATTCCAGCAGCTGTCATCACCCTGTTCCCTACCCGCCTCTTAAACAATTGGGCCTCTCCCGTTCCTCTTCCATGCCCCACCTGATGCCTCTCATCTGGCCGCTCTCAGCAGCAGATGTCCCTGCAACAAGCACCCCCATAATTCACTGCATCTGTCAGACCAGCCAAGCCGATCTCATTATGTAGGCAGCCTGAGTCTCTCTCTCACAACCCTGGGTAAAATGCCAGAATCCGGTCTTCTAGGCAGCTTGGCAGCCAATAGAGAGCACTACAAATCCGACAAACTTTGCTTATGTTTCACTTACCTTTGAAATAAGGGGCATGAGTTCCCTCTAAACACACTTCCACAGAAAAATGTGTATCATATTTCCAAACACAGGAAAGATAGAATGGGACAAAATGCTCATAATTCGCCCGCCTTTTCATTCCAAGTTAACACTTCAGTGTGAATGTGCTTCTGATTTACCACTTTTCTAGGGAATGACAGCAAATTGATTACCCAGACATCTCTCCAGCTCTTGATTTCATGGCAGAATAGAACTCTGAGGACCCAGTCTATTAACAGGTATAAATTTCCCCAGTTGTCTAAAAACCACACTTGCATCATCACTCAGGCTGCATGCTCAGCTCATAAGCCCTTCATGATGCTGCAGAAGCCAGAACAGTTTGCCAGAGCCCATCTGTAGTCTTCACATAGCCAAATGATATGTCCAGCTAGCCAAGACACAAAAAAGAGCAGAAAGACATGATTTGATTTTGCTTAATGGTTCTTTAAGGCAAGTGTGTGTTCTGGCTTTCCCTGATGAGCTATGTTAAGTGCCAGAAGCACAGATTCTGCCCCTACTAAGTTGCAAGAAAGGACAGAGGTTCCAGAACAGGAAGACCCAACAAAGAAATGGTGCAGTCAGACAGTGATGTGCAGAAGATAATGACAACTGGAGACTGGGGATGAGCAAGTTGCATCCCAGAGGTTGGATCCAGTGTGCTCCCTGGCTTTGCACACTAAAGAAGTTTCAACAGCATGACTGAAAAATGTGAAAAAGAAGAATAGTATTGCATAACTTACAAAAATTACAGGAAATACAAGCTGTAGGCAACTGCCTAGGTTGCCTTGTAGCTAGGCAGGTATGTGTAAGTCTGCTGGGATAAAAGCAGCCAATAGCTGGCGGGTATTCATAGCCTGGACAGTGCCAAATATGTGTTAGCTATACCAGTGTGTCAGCATAGTTGTCTGTTATATTTTATTCAAAGGTATGTGGGGAAGGTGGAGCATTGCAGGCCCCAGGTGGGGGTGCTGCAGACTGCCTGGGGGATGGGAGTCAGGGACATGTTAGAGTAGAAGCCCTGGGAAATATTTGACAGAAGAGGAGTGACTTCTGAGGCATTTCCTGGGCCCCATTTAACACTTTTAACATTAACTCATTTAGCATGAAGTAGGCACTATTTTTGTCCCAGTTTATAGGTAGGCAAAACCAAGCAAACAAACAAATAAATAAAATAAGGCTTAGGAGTAGCACCTGGACAGGAACCCTGTTGAGAATGACTGAAGCTCTTGTCTGTGAAGCTTTATAGCATAGTCCTGGGTCCATGAGCTTTATCCATTAGCTTTACCTACTGCCTTCATCTATTAGTCCTTATAGACAACTTAGATTGTCCTGTTGTAATGGACACATCTTAGGATATTGATGATTGCAAACAACATGATACTTTCACTTATTCCAAACATTCATCAAGCATCAGCTGGAGGGTCTACTGTGTAGCTCTATGGTCCAGGAGTCCTAGACACAGGATCTGTGGTGCCAAACCTTGTCCCTTGCATAGCAAAAAGAAATAAACAAAAAAGGGAAGTAAGGGAGAGTCTTAACTATAATGAAATCTCCCCCGTGTCGCGCCCACGTTTCTTATCGTCCGGCGATAAGAGGCAGACGTGAGTGAAGTCTTCTGCGGTAATCTTTATTGCGCACACCAAGATGAGGAGGAAAGGCTCCGACCCTGGCAGGCTGTCTGCTCTTATGTGCTGACTGGCCCCGCCTCCGCCGATGATAGGTCGGCGTCATGATTATGCAGGGTCCTGGGCGACTGGATTCGTCAGTCCCAGTGTTCATGTGCCGGCCACGCCTCAGCTCACTGCGCCGCCTGCGCAGTACCACGAAAGCTACGTCACCAGGAACCAAGGTGTGGCTTTTCCGGCCAGCGCCATTTTGGGTACGGCATGTGGCCAGTACATGCAGATGCGGCTGGCAACACCCCGATAGATAAATATTGGGTCTTGGAAGTTATACATAGCGCTTCCTCTTACACTTTAGCAGGCCCAAGTGGAGGTTTTCAACCCAGGGTAGTTTTGCAACATTCCCCTACCCTACGGGATGTTTGCCAATATTCTGAAGCATTTTTAGTTTTCCCAATTTGGGGGTGAAGGTAGAGAGGCAGCTGCAAGTAACATCCAGGGACTAGAAGCTAGAGATGTCATTAAGCTCATTCAAATGCACATAAAAGCTCTACAGTTCAGACCAAGAAATGCTGGGTGGGCCAGAGCCAACCAACTGCAGCGATCAGAAAGTGCTGTGTCCATGAAGTTGTAAGGAAAGAGAAGCTGAAATGTTGGGCAAGTAATGCTAGTGACCACCACGTGTTCTGAGCCCTAAATTGTTGGTCATACCTTTCAGAAGACATGTTTCATAGTAGAAGTCAGTCATTGTTTTGTTTTAAAGGAGAGCTGTGAATGGGGATTTGAATGCAGTCACTTCATTAGGGGCTGAAGGAAGTGCCTTGACTCATACCAGTGCTGCTCTTTCTGTCAGCAGTTTGGACATCAGTGTCCAAGAGCAGTTTCATGCAGACCACAAGTGTCATTCAAATGTCCCTGGGATTCCACATTGATAAAGTAAAAGGAAGCAGGTGAGACAGATTTTAATGTATATATTTTAAGATTCACATAGCTGAAATATTATAAGTTCAACATATAACCAATATAAAAATCTTGAGAGTCTACTTTTTTTTTGCATCAAATATGAAATTTTGTATGTGTTTTTATACTTATAGAACACTCAGAGCCTGGCAGCGTGGGCTAGCGGCTAAACTCCTCTCCTTGAACGCCCAGGATCCAATATGGGCACCGGTTCTAATCCCAGCAGCTATCCTTCCCATCCAGCTCCCTGCTTGTGGCCTGGGAAAGCAGTCGAGGATGGCCCAATGCTTTGGGATCCTGCACCCATGTGGGAGACCTGCAGGAGGTTCCTGGCTCCTGGCTCTGATCGGCACAGCACCGGCTGTTGTGCTCACTTGGGGAGTGAGTCATCGGATGGAAGATCTTCCTCTGTATCTCTCTTCCTCTCTGTATATCTGACTTTGTAATAAAAATAAATAAATCTTTTTTAAAAAAAGAACACTCAGTGTAGACTCACCATATTTCAAACACTCAGTTGCTCCATATAGCTGGCTGCTGGACATAGTGTAGGAGGTTTGTGGCTCAGGGATTCAGTGGGAGACTGACCTTGGTTTCGGCTGAGGACTGGGTGCATTGCTGTTATTGACTTGGAAGGTTTTGCGAACAGGTGTAACATCCAGGAATGTTTGTCCCAGACTCCCTGAGGCAGTTCCTGTATGTTTAGGAAAGAAGCAGGATTGGGTTTGGGCGTGGTCGGCGCCATGATCTTTTCTGTGTTTCCTTGGCAGGTGCCTCTTCTCCAGACATGGAGCCCAGCTATGGGGGAGGTCTTTTTGACATGGTGAAAGGAGGCGCAGGGAGACTGTTTAGTAACCTCAAGGACAACCTGAAGGACACCCTCAAGGACACCTCTTCTAGAGTGATACAGTCTGTCTCCAGGTACACACATATTTCATGGTAAAGGGTATTGACCTCTGTGCTCCCAAAGGAACTGGTTATCTGTCACTTGCGTGTTTGATATCAAGAGTGTCCATTTTGTGATGTAATTATCTGGGGTCTGATCAACCAAGGAATGCCATTGAATCCATGAAATTGAGTCTATTAGGAGCTAGAAGTACAGTCAAGAAGGAGTTGTCTCATTGACACATTAGGGTACAATGGTTGCTATCCCTGATTTTAGAATAAGACATCCTGGGCTTTAATGTAGTATCTACTAAGGAAAGGTACTTAACTTCTGTGAACTTTAATTTTATCCCCTAACAGAATTTGTGTCTTTAAGTGAATTGAGGATCAAATGAGATAAAATGCACTCTGAATGAGCAGTACTTATAGATGATAAGTGAAACAGAACTTTGCTTCTATATTCTATTAGCTCTTCAAAATTTATTCAGTGGAAAAAGCTGTGTGCTTTTCCTCTGTGTGGAAATTGTTATGAGCATGTCATACACTTTTTATTCTTAAGTATTTGGAAATTCTGGTGGCATTAAAAGCTATTTCTTTGAAAGATACAAATGTATACACATGTGTATGCACACACAAAGAAATATGGAGAAACTTTTCCATCTGATGGTTAATTCCCTAAATGCCTGCAAAAGCCAAAGCTAAGCCAGTTTGAAATCTAGAACCTGGGACACTGTCATTGTCTCCCACATGTGTGACAGGGACTGAAACAATAGGGTCATCTTGTACTGCCTTCCCAGGTACATTAGCAGGGAGCTGGATTAGAAATGGAGTGGCTGGGACTTGAGCCAGCATTCTGATATGATATGACTGCATCCCAGGAAGTGCCCTTTCTCACTGTGTCAGCCCTTCTGCTATCACTTTAAGTAACAACCTACAGTTTTGACTCAGGAATTCAAATGTCAAGTCTACTTCATAATCAACATTTAAAACTTTTGTTTATGAAATTGCTTTATTCTCAACCAGGGCCAGGCAGGAGAAAGAAAATATGGCATTTGTTCTCCCCTTACCTCTTAGCAACTCGGTATTGGAGGTATTTGCACATAGGCAAATTGGCTGAAACAATCAGAATGAGTGAATGAGCTGCACTTTCAGTTCCAAGGCAAGAGTCCCTTCCTGAAGTGGCTTCTGTAGTAGCTTTGGGATGTACCTGTTGGAGTGGTATATTTTTTTCTATGCCTTAGATTGAGCTGTGTTCTCTGAGTGATGCCCTTTGTTAGGGAGAATAGCTTCTGGGAGTCAACAGATGCCTGGTAGGCAGAAGTGTCCCAGTTCATAATGAACAAATGATTGAGAAAGGAAATTTTGGTGTATGTGGGTCATTTTAATGAATGCCCTTTTCTGTCTCACCTTTAGCTACACAAAGGGGGATTTAGACTTCACTTATGTTACCTCCAGAATTATTGGTAAGTGTCTCATGTTGGTCAACTACTCTTTGGCACAACTTTCAATGCCTGTCAGAAGACTTATAACCTGTTTTCTTTCTTTCTTCCCTAGTGATGTCCTTTCCTCTGGACAGTGTTGACATAGGATTCAGGAATCAAGTGGATGACATTCGAAGCTTTTTGGACTCTAGACATCTTGACCACTACACAGTCTACAATCTGTCACCTAAGTCTTACCGAACTGCCAAGTTTCACAGCCGGGTAAGGATTGTTAACCTTAGGATGGCACTGTTGAACCCATAACAGGAGTTTTTTCATTAAGAGATATCCTAAAAGCCTTTGGCATCAGGCTGATGAAGCTGGAAAACTATAATATTCTGGGAACTTCTGACCATACAATATTTATTAGCGTTTCTGAGATGTTCTGAAATTTTTCCTTGAGTATTATTGCAGAAAGCGTGTCAACGGAATACCATTCAAATGGGGGTTGCAGATCACTTGGTGGTTAGTTCCTCCTCGACACATTGTTCCTGAGGTTCAAATCAGAGAAAGAGACAACTCTGTTGGCTCCCCTTATACTGTAATACCAATTTTACTTTTGACCTTTTTTTTAATTATTACTGCTTGGGTATCAAGATTAGGCAGTGTGGTTAGACCAGCGCAGACACACCAGAATGTTTGTGAATACTTTCCTGGCCTTCGGTAAGACTGCTTCTTTCTTAAGTGAGGGGTAGCACATTAACGTTAGGTTTGATAGTATTACTAATATTAACAGAACAGCAGCCAGCATTTATAGAGCATTTTCGTTGTACTGAGAACTCTGCATACAGCACTGCATTTAATTCTCGACAGTCCTTTTAGATACATGGAGAAATAGATACTAAGAGATTCATGACCATAACGACCATACAGGTAGTAAGTAGCCTGGGACTCATTATCCAGGGCTGTAGGGATTGTTTGGAAAACCTGGATTTTCCTTTAAAGAAGCTTTTTGATCCAGACAGAGAAATATTGCTAGATTCAAGTAGCTAAAGAAATTCTGAGAGCTGTCTTAGGTTTGATATTTATGGCTACTGAATTCATGATTTATTCACCAAAGTAATGTGCTTTTTATTCTCTCAAGAACATTATCTGTTTTTTATTTATTCTATAGATATGACAGGTTTTCCTTTGAGTCTGTTAGTAAGTAGAAAGAACTCTCTACACTTGGACTGTTAAAGAGTAAAAATTTGATTTCAAATATAATGTGCCTAATAGTAGCTTGTTGTCAGTATTGCATACCCAGGATTTCAACTTTCATCTCTAAAACACACAAGAAGGTGGGTTTCTCTGCTTTTTAAGCCTTCCATACTAACCCAGTGTTCAGTAAGATATGGGAGGACTTTGTTAAAAACTTGTATTTCAGCATGTTCAGAGAACAGCCTAAAGCCAGAGTGTACACAGAAACATCTGGAGGGCTTTTCAGGTACAGATTTCGGATTAAGCAGGACAGGAGTGGAATAAGAATATGCATTTTTAACAACCTTGCATGGCTGCTTCTACTTTTGCTGTGGGAACCATTCTTTGAGAAGTGCTGATAAAGCCAATCTTAAGTGGTTTGATCTCTATTTTAAGTGCATGGCTTTAAAATCCTTGGTAATCAACTAATCTTTCAACTTTTATTTCATCTATTACCTAATTTAAAGAGAGTAATTTAACATTAAAACTGTGAGTAAATACTTTGTTTATAATTTGATGCTAATATTTTAAATTGGTACTTTAAATGATTTATTCTATTTACTTAAAAGAGTTACAGGGAGAGAAGTTAAACAGCACATCTGAGAATCTTCCATCCATTGATTCAGTCCCTAATAGCCACAACAGCTGGAGCTGGGCCAGGTCAAAGGCAGGAGCCAGGAGCCTTCTTCGCCTCCTATGTGGGTGCCAAGGCTCAAAGCTAGCTTTTGCTCCCTTCCCAGGAACATTATCAGGGACCTAGATTGGAAATGGAGCAACTGGAACTTGAGCCATTGCCCTGGTGTCTCAGTTGGCAGCTTTACTTGCTATGCTATAACACTAGTCACTTAAATTGATTTTTCTTGTTTGCAGATTCAGTGCCACCATTTTAAGTTTCTTTTAAAAGTGCATGTCATCTTTGCTCTATTGTTGTCCTCTTTTGTTATTTTGTAAAACTTACTGATTTAGAAGGCAGAGTTACACAGGAAAAAGGAGAGAATGAGGGTGGAAAGGAGTGAGTGAGAGAGAATGGTTATGAGAATATGCATCTGCTGGTTCATTTTACAGTTGGCTGAAATGGCCAGAGTTGGGTCCAGACTGAAGCCAGAAACCTGGAACTTCAATCGGTGGCAGGAGTTCAGGTAGTTCGGCCATCCTCTATTGTTTTCCCAGGCATATTAGCAAGGAACTAGATCAGAAGTAGAGCAGCTGGGGCTTGAACTGGTACCCACATGAGATACTGGAGTTACAGATGACAGCTTAACCCATTTTGCCATTATGTTTGCACCATGCCATTATTTTCATAGTTGAAACACAGTGGAAATCTTGTAAAATAGTTCTAGAAATTTTATATGATCTTGAAAGATCTGTTGCAATCGGTAACATTTTTCCTCTGAAAGTAAGTAAAGATATTATGTCACTACAGAAACTGTCATCCAGGTGAGGGTGTCACTGAAGAGTACTTATGAATAGCAGATTCCTTAAAGATATCTTGAAAGTGTCCGACACGGTGTCCTAGCAACTAAAGACCTCAACTTGCATGCGGCGGGATCCCATGTGGGCGCCAGTTCTAATCCTGGCAGCCCCGCTTCCCATTCAGTTCTCTACTTATGGCCTGAGAAAGCAGTCGAGGATGGCCCAAAGCCTTGGGACCCTGCACCTGTGTGGGAGATGTGGAAGAAGCTCCTGGCTCCTGGCTTCAGATCAGCTCAGCTCTGTTCCAGTCACTTTTGGACGAAAGATCTTCCTCTCTGTCTCTCCTCCTCTCTGTATATCTGCCTTTCCAATAAAAACAAATGAATCTTTTTAAAAAAGATATTCTGAAAGAGGAGATTTGTTAGTGTAACTAAAGGTTTTGTACCTTGACCTAATGGTTTTCCAGACGTGCCAGGAATGACATATTGCACATCTACCCTGTTTTGCTTTCTTTGCTCCAGAAGAGCAGAGGCATGTTTATTTTCTTTGATATCTGGAATAGGGCCCGGTTTGGATGCTAAATATTTCCTAAAGAATGAGCGTGGCAAGAATTTTTTTTAAAAAAGATTTATTTTTTTGAGGGTTTGGCATGATGGCTCAATTGGCTAGTCCTTGGATTGGCTCAGCTTTGGCCGTGGCAGGCATTTGGGGAGTGAACAAGCAGATGGAAGATCTTTCCCTCTCTGTCTTTCCTTCTCTCTGTAAATCTGCCTTTCCAATAAAAATAAATGAATCTTTAGAAAAATATTTATTTTGTTTATTTGAAAGCACATATTACAGATTGGGGGTGGAGAAGGAAAGAGGGGTAAGAGAGAGAGACAGAGAGAGACTTCATCCACTGGTTCACTCCAGAAAGGGATACAAAGGCCAGAGCTGGGCCAAGCTGAAGCCAGAAAATTCTTCCAGGTACTCAAGCAGTTGGACCATCGTCTGCTGCTTTCCCAGGTATGTTAGCAGGGAAGTGGAGCAGCTGCAACTTGAGCCCATATGTGATGCTGGCACTGCAAGCTGTAATTTAAGTCACTATGCTACGGAGCTAGCACTGGCAAGAATTGTGAAACACTATGGACATGAAAGAGATAACTGGTTGTTGTTCTCAAGGTGCTTGAGTATAGCTGGTGAGAAAAGGCACAGCATTCTACATGCAGGAAGGAATGGTACTTATTACAGCTGCTAAGGGCATTCAGTGACAGGAGACAGTAGTGACAGCAGACCTTGATGCATGAGGAAAGCTTGTCCAGGTGAAAGAAGTGGGTCGTTTCTGTTTGTGCATGTGTTAGAATGTGTCTCATGAAGTGCTTCATGGTCTGGCTTCTCTAGTTGCATACTAGAATTATTTTATATTTTTCCAGATCCCCAGGTCCCAGTCAGTGCTGAACATGCTCTGTGTCTCCTTGAATGAGCTTTTTTCTTGCTGTAACAAATGGTCTGTGACACACAAAATCCTTCCCCCACCTCCTGTGATAGTCTAACTCCACTGAGACGATGATTTTCCACTTGTCACAAGGATTTTCTATTATTTTCCTTCTTAGTACACAGGATTATGCTATCTTTAGCTCCTCCAAAAGAGTCCCAGCACTTGGCAGAATGGAATTGGTTTCCTCACCTGTCTTCCTCAACTTTCAGTTGCATCTCAGGCAGATAGTTGCAAACCTTTGGGTAGTGTTTTCATCTTAGCCTCCTTTCTCATTGGTCTAGATCACTTTTCAGTCTACTGGTCCTTCCTCTCCCCACATTACTCTGTGGTTTGATTTACTTCTCCTTGTTGCATTAATTAAAACAGCTTTTTTTTTGGTTCCCAAATCTCAGTTCATAATTATTAAAATGTTTTTATGTTTTTTTCCTCCTTACAGTTTAGTGGAGTACTAATGTTTGTAATTAGACCTTGCTGTGATAAATGTAGATGACCAATCATGGGACTGGTTATTTTATGGATTCATGGAGTCTCAATGTCTTATTGTCTTTCTGAGCCTTCATACCTGAACTTAGTCACTGTACACTGAGAGAGAGAGAGAGAGAGAGAGAGAGAGAGAGAGGAAGGAGTGAGTGTTTGGGGATTTGGATGCTGGCAGTGGGGACAGCTGTTTTCCGCAAACTTTTACATTGTTGAGAGTTGCTGTTCCATGTTTTGATGAACTCTTATGCTTAGAAGCAATATGGGCTTGCAGGCATTAGATAGAATAATCACACAGCTATTATCTTAGTGTTTGTATAAGTAACCAAACTAAAATAAGATTTTGTTTAGTCTCAGTTCATCAGAGGCTAAAACTCAAAATAGCAAATAGTAGATAGCTCCACATTCTAAGTGAGGTTCTAGATTACTTGTCCAGGACTTCAGAAGAGTTATTGAATATTAGTTTTTCTACTCTTTACAGCCAACATCCAACACGAGCAAATGAAGTACTGATGCCGACAGTGAAGTCCTAGGGGCACAATACATCATCTAAATGGGATGTTCTTAATCTAGGTTAAAAAGATCCACAAATTTGTGTTTTGAAACTTCAGAGAACTTATCTATCTGCTTCAGATTATTAAAACATAAACTGGTTTCAGGCATTTGTAAGTATGTAAATCAGTGACATTCATTATATTCACAGTTGGGGACTGTCACCATTGTGCAAGACTTGGACCTTCCGCATTGCCTTCAGAATGTATACTGCACCTGTCTAGTACATGTTAAGTGCTGGTTCAGTTTCTCCATAACAGGTTTATAGCGATGCAGCAAAATATCAGGAATCTCTGCTTCACATGTTTCTTGGCATTGCTGTTGGCAAAAACTGAAAGTCAGATGTCTTAGCCTCACGATTTCAAATATTGATTAATACCATTTCAGTTCCACTTTGACCCTCTTCTTCTTTCCCATTTGAGGCCTGGATAAAGAAGGAGCCTTGGGGGTAGCTGAAAAATAACTAACCCATTCTTCTTTTATGTTGACTGTTTCTAAACCACATAATCTTGCAGGATTCCTCTTCTTTGGAAACAAATTGATTTTTTTTAAAAAAGTTATTAACAATGAGAGCTTCTAAGGGCTCATAATTGAACTAATGTATTTTTATGCTTTGAGAGCTCACCAAAGTGGTCCCCAGTGCATTCTGTCATTTCTGCCTTGATCCAAAGCTGGTAAGAAGCTTAGCTGTAGAGCAGTGTCCTTATAGCCTTGGCTTCATCTAGTTGTGCTACTGTCATCCTGGAAGCAGTGGGAGGGAGGAACAGTCCCTACCTGGGAGCCAGACCACCAGGGATTTCCATATTCTAGTTCTTCAGTCTTATGCGAATTAAAAGTCTTAACCTTGATAATATACAGGTATCACTTAAAGCTGTGAACACCCCCAATAACTTAAAATACATTTATAGTTAATAATCATCACCTGGCAGGATAATGTAGTGGAGAATACACAATTTTTTATTTCTTGCATTCATGTAAAATTGATATATGCAAAAATCAAAAACTTTAAAAATTGGTGCAGTGGTTAAGTAACCACCTGGGACTCTGGTGTCCCCTGTGAGAGTGTTGGTTGAGATCCCTGATTGTGCTTCTAATCCCTCTTTCTGCTAACATGGAGGGCAGCGGGTAATGACTCAAGACTTGGGTCTCTGACACTGAAGTAGGAGATCAAGATTGGGTTCTGGGCTCCTCACTTTGACTTGACCCGCCCAGGGTTGTTATGGGCATTTGGGGCATGACCCAGCAGATGGGAGGTTTGTCTGTCTGTATTTCAAATGAAATCATGGAGAAGTTACCTTGGTTCACATCTCAGCTGTTTCTTTTCCTGGGAAAGTTACATCACCTTTTCTGAGACTCAGCTCTGTCTCATCTCACATATTCAATGAGTGCCACAATTATAAGCACCTGTTTCACAGGCACTCTTAAGATTTTTTCCTGTAGCTCCAGAGAACTACAAAAATAGCTTGCAGTGTTTGAATTCCTTCTTGCAAGGAATAAACTTGATAACAATGTCTGGCTTAGAAACAGCATTCAGTAAGTGATAGCTTTGATTACAATTGGTAATAAAAATGCCACAATAGGTGATTGATTAAAATACTCTTTCAAAAAGTGGGAAGAGATCATTAAATATAGGATATGGTATTGCACTTGCATTCATTATAACACCTTTTGCTTTTATGCTTGGAATGGGATGCTTTTACTTATCTTACCTAATGCTAAGGGTGATGGTAGATAAAAATTGAGTGACATCATATCCTGGTGGTATGTGGCTTCTTCTCCCCACTGGGTGTTAGCAGTGGTGTTGTCTCATGCTGTGAGACTCCAGAGGATGTTCAGGAGACTGGAATCGGCACTGTGAAAGGTCACATTCTCAATGATTATGTTTATTATTTTAAGCTATGAACCCTAGAGAACCACAAAATTAGCTTGCTGTGATTCAATTCCCTAAAAATATTTTTGCTTTCTCTATGCATTAATATTTTACCCCATTAGAACACACACTTTTGTAAGAAATTCTAATGTTGTGTTTGCTTAATGGTATGTAATTATAGACCGAGTAAATATATATAATTACAGAGCAGTTTAAATTAATATTATTTGCTAATTGACTTAATGGTTGTAGAACCATCAGTGTATTGTAATAAGAACAATGTAACTTTTAGCTAAAATTCGTTACAGATACTGACAGTTGGTGTATGGAATAACATACTTTTCAAACCTTTAAAAATATTGTCTAAGAACTATTGCCTGTTAGTACCCATATTAAAAAAAAACAAATTTACTTATTTCATCTTTAAGATACTATACTCATAGGGCCCAGCATGATAATGTAATGGCTGAAATCCTTGCCTTGGATGCGCTGGGATCTCATATGGGTGCCGGTTCTAATCCCAGTGACCCCACTTCCCATTCAGCTCTCTGCTTGTGGTCTGGGAAAGCAGTCAAGGCAGTCAAGGATGGCCCAAAGCCTTGGGACCCTGCACCCATATGGGAGACCTGGAAGAAGCTCCTGGCTCCTGGCTTGGATTGGCTCAGCTCCAGCCATGCAGCCACTTGGAGAGTGAACCATTGGAGGGAAGATCTTTCTCTCTGTCTCACCTCTGCTCTGTATATCTAATATCTGCCTTTCTAATAAAAATAAAATAAATCTTTAAAAAGATATTATACTCATAGATAAATAAATGTAATACCAAAAAAGATTGCCAGATGCAGCTTATTGGTTTGTTTTCATCCTTATTATTATTGTCATTATTTCTTTTTTTTAATTTTGAATTTTATGGTATAGTTCTGTAGAGTCTGGGATTTCCACCCCTTGACTGATTTTCCTCATATTGTTACAATAGTATGGTCCTTTATAAGGAGTTATAATTCCATCAGTCTGTTATTTAAGTGTGCCCAGACACCATCATCCCGTTGTCTAGATATGTCATTGGAAGGCCCTCTGTGATTTGAAGGTAGGGATGCATGTTGCATTGTGTCCATTTATTTTTTTCATTCATTCTTTCACTCAACAAATGTGTACTGAGCACTTGCCATTTGAGCAGCACAGTTACCAGTGAAATAGTTGTGATTTGTTTTTTCATGAAATTCAGTTCTGGAGGAGAGAATTGGTACAAACGGTTCACTCAGTAGAGCCTGACAAGAAACTTGCACTTGCTGCATTTACACTGCTCTACCTAATTTTCATGACAAACCTGTTATGTCATTTGTACTTTTCACTCATTCTGAGTCCTGGAGAAGTTAGTAACTTGCCTGAAATGAACGGTGTTTGGGCTATATGTGGAGTGAACTGGTGGATGGAAGAGTTGTCTGTCTCTCCTTCTTTCTTTGTCACTCTGCTTTTCAAATAAATAAATCTGCCCAAAAAAACTGTGTGAAGCTTGCTGAAGTCTAAGCTTATCATTGCTTACAAGTTTAATTCATAGATGTATAATCAATTCAGATTCATGCCTAGTGTTTGGAGGCAACCCCTATAATGTTACAGCAGCATGACTTATACCTGCGTTTATATCAGAACTAGTGCTGTCCGCAGTGCAGCTTGTCAGTGCTGTCATCTGCAGAATGGAGATCGCTTTATTGTCTTCTGTGACTGTTGTAAGGGTCAGGCCAGGCAGCATTTCTGGCACATACCTGATGTCCTCTAATGTGCTAACTAAATGTGTGTTAAATAACTGAAGATGTCAAGGATTACTCCTTCATTAAAGGAGAAAACAAACAAAACAAACACTACCCCTGGCTCAATCTGCAGCATAAAATTAAATCTGAGATAAATATGTAATGTGTAGTGTAGAATCTTCAAAAACAATTTTATAATGACACAATGAATAGGTAAAAAGATTTTATGTTTTATAGGAATTGTTATTTAAATTCATGCAAGAGAAGGAAACCCAAATGTGTAATCTGAATGCTTTAATTTAAAATGTATTTAAAAATCTGTTTTCACATCTTTACAGAAACAGAACTTTGAATTTAAAAAATTACTATGTTAAACACCTCTTTTTCTTGTAGTTAGAACTTATTCCAAACTCCTCATGGCTATGCTGAAAGAGGTTGTGCTACTCATGCAGAGTAAGTTTCTGATATGATGCTTGCCTGTGGGAGAAGAAATCCTGGGGGAGTTAACTTTCTTTTGTGTTGTTCCCCTAGGTCTCAGAATGCAGCTGGCCCATTAGGCAGGCCCCCAGTCTGCACAACCTCTTTGCTGTATGTCGGAACATGTACAACTGGCTGCTACAGAATCCCAAAAACGTGTGTGTGGTTCACTGCTTGGTGAGTAACACTTATGTAGTAGTTGTTGTTGGTTTGGTTTAGTTTGGTTTGATTTGGTTTGGGCAAGTGCAAATGACTATATACAGAATGATTAACTGGCAACTTTGGCGTTGAAAATATTGTATTTTTGATCCCATATCTGAGAGTTTGGTAATGAGGGATGTGAAAACGAGATGTGAAAAGCAGATAGGCACGCAGCGCACATCAGGCAAGGGAGCTTAAATGTGCTAAGTGTTGTGAAAGAGATAGAAATAAGAGCTGTTGGGTGCAGGCGTATTGTGTGAATAAAATTGATAAACATATTTGCAGCTGTACTCTTTCTAACTGCTCAAGCTTGAGTGAAAGGAGAACACCTATGCTCCCTGTTTACCAGACTGTATTTTAGAGCAGTTCCTCATGGGACTGATGACTTTCTAACCATTTTTTTGCCTGGATGCCTTTACCAAACCTTTTTTCCAGGCCCTTTACTTGCCCTTTAAAATTCAACTTTCTGCAGAATCTTTGAGGCTTTCTATGAATAAATATTTTCACAATAGGGGGCATTCATGTTGCCTGCTTCAATATTATTGTTTTCAGTGATATTTAATAACTGTATCACACATGATAAGCTCTTCTCCCTGTCTTCCCACCAGATAGCATCTGGCAGTAAAGGTCTGTGTCTTTTTAATTTTTATAAGCCAGATATAAAAATATTGCATAAATGAATATAAAAATGAATATTGAAATGGAATCTGAGCATAAATACTGGAAGTATTTGTTATGTCTATAAAAATATGTATAACTTGATTATTTGATATATCATTTAATATATATAAAACTTGGTTTATATAATGTTTGATTATTTCCCTTCCTATTTTTTGAATCACTTGTCTGAAACAAAGGATAAAGTTGAATAACTTACCTTTTTATTTGTTTTTTTAAATTTTATTTTCATTACAAAGTCAGATATACAGAGAGGAGGAGAGACAGAGAGAAGCATCTTCTGTCCGATGATTTACTCCCCAAGTGAGTGCAATGGCCAGAGCTACGCCGATCTGAAGCCAGAAGCCAGGAGCTTCCTCTGGGTCTCCCACATGGGTACAGGGTCCCAAGGCTTTGGACCGTCCTCAACTGCTTTCCCAGGCCACAAGCAGGGAGCTGGATGGGAAGTGGAGCGGCCAGGATTAGAACCTGAGCCCATATGGGATCCAGGTGTGTTCAAGGCGAGGTTTTTTTCAGCCACTAGGCCACAGCACTGGGCCCACTTTTTAAATTTCTATCTCAATTTTCAAATTCTTGTTAGTAAAGGAAAAACCCTTTGTGTTTATTTTTAAGTTATTTTATTATTTTCCATGATACAGTTTTGTAGGTATAGGAATTTCCCCCTTTCCCTCCCCTGTCTCTCTCCTCATCCCCCACTCCCCCACCATTTCTCCATGTATTGTTACAGTAGTATAGTCCTTTAGTAACAGGTACAGGTTTAACATTGTGCTGTTTAAGTGCATCATGGCATTGTTGGCATCATGGCCCATGCAGTAGCCTAGTGCCTGAAGTCCTCGCCTTGTATGCACCAGGATCCCATATAGGTGCCAGTTTGTGTCCTGGCTCCTCCATTTCCCATCCAGCTCCCTGCTTGTGGCCTGGGAAAGCAGTCTAGGATGGCCCAAGGCCTTGGGACCCTGCACCCATGTGGGAGATCTGGAGGAGGGTCCTGGCTCCTGGTTTCAAATAGGCTCAGCTCTGACCATTGTGGCTGCCTTGGGAGTGAACCAGCAGATGAAAGCTCTTCCTGTCTCTCCTTCTCCCTGTAAATCTGCCTTTCCAATAAAAATAAATAAACCTTTAAGAAAAAGAGAAAATGTAGTGATATATTATTAAGGTAGAGTTAAGCAATTTTTCCTTTCAGAGGCAGAATAGATTGTGCCAGAGAAGAGATTACTTTTAGTGATTAATAAACTCAGAGTCTAGGTCTGACTGCTATTTAAAGTGCTATGGTTTAAGTCCCAATTCTAATGATGCAGTCATAAAGAATAAAAACTGGGAGTGGGTGTTTAGCCTCACATATGTTTAAGATGCCCCATTCCCTCACAGGAATACTTAGGTTTGATCCTCAGCTTCATCTCCTGACTGCAGCTTGCTGCTAATATGGACCCAGCAGGTAGTGGTGGTGGCTCAAGTAATTGGGTTCCTATTGCCCAAATGGGAGACCTGGATTGCATCCCTGGCTCCTGACTTCATCTAGTTTGTGGCCATTTTGGGCATTTAGGCATGAACCCATGGGTGAGAGATTGCTCTTTTTGTTTGCAAGTTATTTTCTTTTCTACAAAGAAAAACTAATAAGAAGAAAAAAATAAGAGACAGGATTATTATGACACAGGATGTTCAACAGGTGTTATACATTTAAAAACAATATTCATGGGCCTGGAGCAATGGCTCAGTCGGCTAATCCTCCCCTAGCATGTGCAGCATCCCATATGGGTGCTGGTTTCTGTCCTGGCTGCAGCACTTCCCATCCAGCTCACTGCTTATAGCCTGGGAAAGCAGTTAAAGGATGGCCCCAAGTCTTGGGCCCCTTGACTGGGGACTTTCACCCCACTAGATGTCAAGAGTCAGGTCCTTGGGTTTTACTAGGTGAGCTCTGCATTTTTGGGAGACACTTTAATGGTACAGTGATGGACTATTACTATTCATGAAAGACACTCATTGTAAAACTAGAGGGGAAATTAGTGGGGAGGGGAGGGAACTTAGGGAGGGGCAAAGGAAATCCCAGTACCTCTTAAACTGTGTCATTAAGAGAAACAATTTTGAAGCAAAAATCACCTCAGTTTGAGGCTTTCTCCTCATGAGCTTATGAATTTGCTTTGGCAGGATGGACGGGCAGCCTCGTCGATTCTGGTTGGTGCTATGTTCATTTTCTGTAATCTCTACTCGACTCCTGGCCCGGCTGTTCGGTTGTTGTATGCAAAGAGACCGGGAGTCGGACTTTCACCATCCCATAGGAGGTAACGTAGACTAGATGCAGCAAAGGTGCAGACATGGTCTAATTGGTCTCATGTAATGTTGGAAATCTACTTTGAAGGTACTTTTGTTCACTTTCTTTTAATTTGCTGAATATTTGTAGAATATTCAGGGTTTAATCCGTTTCATTGGTGCCCGTATGAGAATTTATAACTTTAAAATTGGAGGGAAGCTTGAAAGAATACATTTGTCTACCTCCTGAAATGCACAGGTGAGGAAAGTGGGCCCAGGCAGGTTGTGGTTTGCCACAAATCTAACAAGACCTGGTCATGGTCAACGCTTCAACCTTGACCTCAACCTACAGGCCAGTTCCCCGTTCCTTCACTATATGCTGTTGAAATAGAAGCAATAATGTGCTATGCTAGCCACTGAAATTCATTTCTGTGGAGGACATGGTTAACTGAAGCAACTCAAAAATAGAGAACAAAGAATTCTAAGACTCCCTTTTTCTTATGACTTGATATAGAAGTGAGAAAAATAGATTACAAAAGGGAATCTGAAAAAGCTTAAAAAAGAAAACCCTTTGTAGGTAACTGATTTATTCTCTTCCTTTTAGTCACATTTTTCTTTTCTTATTTAAATTGCATCTCCTTACTTTTTTGGTTCGAAAGTACTGTTGGTGATAACATTCTAAAATGTATCCCAAGGTAACCATTAGTTGGTGAATTTAGTCTGTTAGATAAAGCAGAAATATACTTTTAAATATTTAGCTAAGTGAAAGCTCTTATAAAGTTTTTGATCGAATAAATAGCCACTTATCATTTTTTGGCAGAAGATGGTAGAGAAAAGCTTTCCACTATTATTGTTTGTATTCTCTTTGACTCATTAATATTTAAGAAATTAACATTAAATTTTTATTATAACTGAATAATTTGCAAGAACACATTGCTTGTTTCTTCCAATGTGATGGGCCCTAAAGGAGTGGCAATCTTCTGTTTTAGATACCTGGGCTATATGTGTGACCTACTAGCAGACAAACCCTACCGCCCTCACTTCAAGCCTCTCACAATTAAGTCAATTACTGTCAGTCCAATTCCATTCTTTAACAAGCAGAGAAATGGGTGTCGTCCTTACTGCGATGTGCTGATTGGAGAAACCAAGATATATTCCACCTGCACAGATTTTGAGCGAATGAAGTAAGTCATGATGCTCTTTTTCATTTCTTGTATATTGCCCAGTTTAACATCAGAGGTAACCAGGAAAAAAAAAGGAATGCCATGGACCATTTTCACATGGTGAGGTGATTGATACAGGCTAAGGGACAAGTATGGACTACAATGAAGGGCGAGACAGTGATAAAGGAAGAGGAATCTGGACATGTAAAAAGGAGATGGCTTTAATGGAAATTGTGAATCAAGGGTGAATGACAGTTCTGATTAGGCAGATGGCAACATGTTATAGTTAAGAGTAGGTGCCAATGGAAAGTTTAGGGGTATGAAAAGAAGGATGAGAGTAGTCAACATAAAGTGAAATTAGGTGAGAATAACTTGAACTTGAGCAATGGTATCCAGGATCTTCAGAGAGCTTCACATTTAGCTGATCCTGGTTGGATATTTTTGGTTCATTATGTCTCTGCTTTTAATATTAATTTAAGATTTGACTAAAGAACACCTGTATATGAGAGATCTTCATGTATGTTATGAAAAAACTGGGTTGTGAAAATTCCTTTTGCATCAAAATAATCTTATCTTTTGATTCAATTTTTCCATGAATTTTCCCTCGTAACCAAGGCTGAATATAATTTTAGAAAAGCGAGAGCTTCGCAAAGATCAGTGATTACACTTCTGGCAGTTCTGACAGAGTGAAAGAGGGTTGTGTCAGACCAGTACCATTCCATTGCAGAACCAGTTTCCATTTAGTAGCCACTGGTTACACTCCTAATTTTGCTTAAGAAGGATAATAGTTTCTGGACAGGTCGCTTGTCCAGAGGCATAGAGGACTATACCTCTGTCTGTGGGATTGTACCAAATGGGACTCTTTTGATGTATGCTTTGGTTTCTGTTTAAAGAGAATATCGCGTTCAAGATGGAAAAATCTTCATTCCCTTGAACATCACTGCTCAAGGAGATGTGATCGTTTCCATGTATCACTTGAGATCAACCATTGGGAGCCGGCTTCAGGCGAAGGTATGGCTTTGGGAAGAATCATGGCGTTAAGTTTGATTGAGTTTTTATAGAGGTATTTCTGAGTCTTTTCTCCAAACCACTTCGGGCTTGAAGGACTGACTTATGGTTTTAAAATGAGAAAGAGCCTCCAAAAGTTTCTGCCATCCATTTCAATTTTATGAACAATAAGACAGACTTGATGAGGTTGTAACATGCCTAAAGTCCTCTGCTACCTTCAGCAAACCATGCTCTTCAGAAGTGATGTCTCTTTTACAGTGTCCCATTTTGGTCAGTATACAGGGACAGAAGTCCATTAATCATGTGGAGATAAGATGCACATAACATAAAAGTTACTTTTTGAAGTGTACAATGAGGCAGTTCTTAGCAAATTAAAAAGATTGTACAACTTATTACCACTAGCTAATTACAGAACATTTTCGTCACTCCTAAGATAAACCATGCAGCCAGTAGCAATCACTGCTCACCCCTGCTGCAGCATCCCCATCCCTGGCAGCCATGAATCTGCTTTCTGTGTTCATCAGTTTGCTCATTTGGAATACTTCATGTGCGTGTGTAGTGAGACAATACAAGGTCATTTGTGGAAACTTGAATTCATATTCCTTTGAATGATACTCTTTTGTATAATAGCCATGCTTTATTTTGTTAATCTTTTCATCAGTTGATAGATAGATCTTGGGGGCTATTTCCATTGTTTGACTATTAGGAATGACATTTTAAATAATTATATTTTAAGTCATCAAATATTTTTATAAAATGTTCTTGCCAGGGCCCGGTGGCGTGGCCTAGCGGCTAAAGTCCTCGCCTTGAACGCACTGGGATCCCATATGGGCGCTGGTTCTAATCCCAGCAGCTCCACTTCCCATCCAGATCCCTGCTTGTGGTCTGAGAGGGCAGTTGAGGATAGGCCAAGGCCCTGCGATCCTATGCCCATGTGGGAGACCCAGAGGAGGCTCCTGGCTTTGGATTGGCTCAGCTCCAATTGTTGCAGCCACTTGGGGAGTGAATCATCAGACAGAGAATCTTCCTCTCTGTCTCTCCTCCTCTCTGTATATCTGACTTTCCAATAAAAACGAATCTTCAAAAAAAGTTCTTGCCATCACCTAGGTGGTTATTGATGAAAGTAAGCCTGTGTCCATAAGGTTAAGAAATTCAGCCTAGTAGGGGCAACTCACCCATGCACACATATCCATGGTACTGTTTTGGAGGAAGAGTGAAGTGCTGCAGTGGAACTGTGGGGCCCAGAAGAGCTACAGACAGGAGTTATCATTTCTAGGTGGACTTAAAGGATGAGCTCACCAGATTGGAGCAAGGTATCCTGGGTAGAAGGAATGCTAAGTGTCAAAGTGAGGCAGTGTGCAAAAGCTTAGAATGTTAGGGAATAAGCAGGCAACTTGCTAAGCATGGGGAGAAGACAGAAAGCTAGGAGAGTTGTTTAGGTATCATAGGAAACAAGGATTCAAATATAGAAACAGCTGAAAATGCATGGCTCCATAAAATGTAATCCTTCATTAGACTCTTTTTGTACTGATTGATTGTTGTGTGATTGTCTCATGTATTTTTAGGTGACCAACACTCAGATATTCCAGCTTCAGTTTCATAGTGGATTCATACCACTGGACACAACAGTTTTAAAATTCACCAAGTAAGTACTGCTTGAGCCCAAAGTCTTTTTCCATCCATGAAGTTGAGAAATGTTGAGACTGTACCGTGACATGCTGCAATTACCCCCAGAACACTGGTCTGCTAGGCCATTGACTGTCATGCACAGCATGGTGAGGCTGGGTGCATTTCAGGACTTCTGTTGGATATGACTTGTCTTAAAAAGTACACATGGAGTAGACTTCAAATAGAAAGGTCTGACACTCCACCTGAAGGAACAAGAGTGAGCAAAGAAGAAAGAGAGTCTCTACTTGGATCCGTTATATCTATGTGGTCCTTTGCATTCCAACAGGGATGGCAGGTCAGGCAGCTGTAGGGTATGAGAAAAGACTCAGAATGGATGCCCAGACGTTGTGCTGAAGCAGGCTTTCTGGAGGACCCCCTGTACCCAATGTTAACTCTTAGTTGCTGTAACATTAGGTGGCAAGGGAACTAACAGGGGTGGCAGAAGTTGGAGTGACAGCAGGAGTTGCTGAGCTAGTAGCTATTCAAGGGCTCAAGATGGTGGCTGTGAGCCCAGGTCAGATTTTAACAACTGATTCTGGCCATACCATCCAGTACTTTCACATGCAACGGTGTCCAAGTCCTTTGACCAGGAATTAGTCTCCTTTTTCTCTAGATCAGGAAACTGAAGCTCAGAGAAGTCACATAATAAATCTAGTTAATGGTTGTTTCCTAGACATGTTGGTTGTTCAAAATTTTTAAAAGCCAATCTAAGATAATCTCTTTACTGAACATCATGCTGATTCCACTATTGTTCACTGCTATTACTCTTTTAAATCCCTACTTAGGCCTGAGTTAGATGCATGTGATGTACCAGAAAAATATCCTCAGCTGTTTCAGGTGACGCTGGATATAGAAGTACAGCCTAATGACAAAGTGATAGACTTAACCCCACCATGGGAGCATTACTGCACAAAAGATGTCAACCCCAGCATCCTCTTCTCTTCTCACCAGGAGCATCAAGATACCCTGGCCTTGGGAGGTATGAGTTACATGGTAGTGTGGTTTTTCAGGGTAAAGCCTCTGCGTTATTTATCCCACTGCCTTGCTGCCTAAGTTTCACTGGTGTCCCATTGCTTTTTTCCTTGCAGGACAAGCACCAATAGATATTCCTCCAGACAACCCCAGGCATTTTGGGCATGGTGGCTTTTTTGCCTCTCTCTGTTGGCAAGGTACTTCCAAGTGTTTATTTAAGTTCCCATAACCCATTATTCTTGTTTTTCACTGCTAAAATGAAATCACTGACTCAGGCTAACCTCATAAGGGAAAAAAAAAAGCTCATTTAGCACATACTTTTAGAGACTAAAAATAAAATGATGCAGTGCTGTTCTGCTTTTGGTGATTGCCTGACTGTGTGTGACATCACATCATAGCAGAAGTTTGTATGGGACAGGAAGGAAGTGCATCTGGAACAGAAAGTCAGAGCAGTTCAGGGATCAAGTTCACACTTTCGTAAGAACTTGCTTCAGGGAGAATTCACTCTGGGAAGTCAGTATTTTTTTCCAGGGGAGATATACCAGTGACCAAAGGACCTTCCCCAGGCCAAGTCTCTTGAAGATCTCACCACATCCCAGTGCCACCACATTGGGCTCCAAGCCTCCAACACATGAACCTTTTGGGGGACAAACAACATCCAAACCATAGCTGACAGTTAGGTGATGACTGACTGAATGACATGGTTGTTCTGTAAAGGTAAATCAGAGCAGCACTTTGAAGTCACCCAGATCCCATCCTCCTTACTTTGTGCTCTTCCTGTTCATTCCTTTTTTTCAAATCCGACAACTTCCATGCTTTCAACTCTATGGGTGCTGTCAGAATCAGTTTGTTTAAACGCCAATTTAAAAATAGTTCTGTCATCTTCTTAGGTTCTGTTCCAGGCCATGTTTTTCCGGGATTGATGATTAAGTCAGATGTTTCTTATGATCTCCCTTCAGGCTACTGACAACACAGAGGGCTTAACGATCTATCTCATGCCCCCAACTATTCTAAACACATAAAATTAGGCATTTCCCCAGGGTGCTGTAACCACCAGCATGGCAGACCTGAGATCATGGTGTGAGGAAGGTAAAGACTTGACCTTCATGACTTTGCTGCTTGCTTCACACCACAGCAGAAACTGGGACTCCACCACTATACTGTTTTCTCCAAAACCTTGGGATATTTTCTGAATCCTCAGTATAATGCTGAGACTTGCTACCATCAGTAGACTGGCTTTGGCATTTGATCAATATTCATTGGCTGTCCTTGTTTTAGAGTTTCTCTCTTTAAATAAAATTTTTATCAAGAGAACAGAATTCATCTATTTCAAAGGTATGTTTCTAAGAACGTAAAGACACTTACCTCTCTCTCCTCTTCCCAATCTTTTTTCTTTTAATTTGTGCAATGAAATGCCTTCATTTACTTTATAATCACTGGCTTCAAATATAGGGTTCAACAAGTAGAAGAGTAACATGAATATAGCCAAGGAATATAAGTGATAACCAAATCATAAGGTGTCAGTTTCATACATACATTCAGAATATTTTTTTGTTGCTTTCTGTATTAGCGATTTATCTGCTTCACCATTTGCTAAGGCTAATGACAAGATTTGGTCTATAATTGAAAGTCAGGATTTCATGTATTACAGGGATTATGACCTGATTTAGGGGTGATCTAGGTAAAAATTCTCTTGATTGATTTTTTAATCTAATTTTGATTGTAAGACAGTATTTTTGTTGTTTATATAAGCTTTCAGTGTTTGTGAAAAATTTTTTTACAAAATTCCTGTAGATGGTTTCCATGGGCATCCATTTAGTTTGATAGTCAAGATGTTAGTTGAATGCCTGTGTCCCACACTGGGTTACTTGAATTTGATAGCAGGCTCCAGCTCCTGATTCCAGCTTCCTGCTGCCGCAGACCCTAGGAGGCAGTGAGGATGGGTCAGTTAACTGGATTCCTGTCATCCAGACCTTGATGATTTCCAGACTTACATGTTGGCTCATGTTGGGGGCTGTGAACTGGTAGATAGGGTCTCTCTCTGTCTCTCAAAAACAAAAAAAGACAAGACAAACAAAATGGACAAAAAAACCTAAAAGCTTTTCTTCAGAATTTTCTTTCGAGAAGTAGGTTTCTCTCAAACTTAGAAACCACAGTGTAATCCAGATCATGGGAGATTTCACAGGCCCGTCTTGATATTGCTGACTTACCTTCTTTATACCAAGGGCTTTTAATAAAACTTCACTCTCAACTTTGCACTATCACTTTAATTAGTAATATAAAATTAATTCCTGTAGATTCAGAGATCAGTTTTAGCACAGGTGCATAATTTCTTTTAAAAAGATTTATTAATTTTTTATTGGAAAGGCAGAGTTACAGAGAAGAGAGATAGAAAGATCTTCCATCCACTGGTTCACACCCCAAATGGGGACCACAATCAGATCTGTGGTGCAGCCAGGAGCTTCTTCTGGATCTCTCATGTGGGTGCAGGGATCCAACCACATGGGTCATCATCCACTGCTTTCCCAGGATACAGGGAACTGGATTGGAAGTAGAGCAGCTGAGATTCAAGCCAGTTGCCATATGGAATAAGGAATGGTGCTGCAGGTAGAGGATTAGCTTACAACACCATCAGCTGTCTCTACTATGCATAATTTCTTATCTGAGAAATTATTGTTATCTTTGAGCCAGATGTTTAGTAATACAGAATATTTTGGATTTTATGAAGACTTGTTTGGTATACAAACTGTATGTTGCAGTGACATCGCAAATAATCTGATCTCAAACATACTAATGTTCCAGTGGAATAACATGTAAATGGTAACCCAGGTTCAGATCAGTGGAGATACAAGAATCTTACCTACTGGGCAGTGCCCACACTGGAGTTCTTGCCTGCTCTGTGCACCTGTACTATCCTGCCTTCAGGTACTCAACAATCATGGTTATGTGAACTGTCTGAAGGTCTCATTGTAAGGGTTTGAATGAGCTATTTGCCCAGAGATTAATCCTTTCTTTCTGGAGTCATGTGTGTATAATACACAGAAATCCGATAATGCTAACCATTTATTGGCATCCTCACCTTCCACAGATCAGAAATCGGAGAAGTCGTTCTGTGAGGAGGACCACGCTGCTCTAGTGAATCAGGAAAGTGAGCAGTCAGATGATGAACTTCTGACCCTCTCCAGTCCTCATGGTAATGCCAATGGTGACAAGCATCATGGAGCCAAGAAGCCTAGCAAAAAGCAGCAGGAGCCAGCTGCCCCTCCACCTCCAGAGGAAGTGGACCTGCTGGGCCTCGAAGGGACTGAAGTGAATAAGAACTTCTCTCCACCAGTGGCTCCTCCCACCAACTCAGAACTGCTGAGTGACCTTTTTGGGGGCAGTGGTGCAGCTGGGCAGGCAGGGGTGGAAGATGTGTTTCACCCTAGTGGACCTGGTTCTACCCAGTCAACACCACGCCGTTCCACCACCTCTGCCTCTGCATCTCCAACCTTAAGAATGGGAGAAGGTAATTTTTTCCGTGTTGTCCTGTACCTCTCAGTTTTGAATTACACTCTTTGGGCCACACAGACAGCAGTGATATTTCCTAGTCAACACCGTGTGATAGGCATTTAGTACAAGCTGTACTTGCACTTCAAGCTATGAATTTTGATCTTTCCTCAGGGTCACAATATTCAATGTGACATTTGTTGTGACGCTGAGCCGTGTTAGAATTACACAGCTCTTAACCTCCAGGACAAACCACCAATGTTCTGCAGTAGATTGTGTCACTGAGCCGTGATATTTGGAAAGTTAGATGTACTGAGTGAATTTTCTACATGGGATATTATTAACTTACGATGGGCTTACTGGGTTTATTGGATCATAACCCTATTGTACACTGGTAAGCATCTGAAGTAGAAAGAACACTCAAGTCTAGAGTTCAAGGCCTAGCTTTAATCTCAGGGCCAATGCCTAACTATCTGTATAGTCTTAAAGAAAATCTTTGTAAAATGAGGATAATACTTACCTATCAACATAATTAAAGAATAGATTTTGAACCCTCGTGTTAGGATGTTCAACATTGTGCTTTTTTGTCATCGGGGAATTATGTCTGACTTGACCTGAAGTGATATTAAAGGTGATCCAAAATAATGGTGAGAAGATTCTAACATTCTGTGCTAGTTGAATGTATACTTAAATGTATTGAATTTAATCTATACTTAAATGTATCTTATGTCACTCCTTCTCTCTGTAAATCTTCCTTTCCGATAAAAATAAATGAATCTGAAAAAAACAAAAGTTTTCTTAAAGACATTCTCACTAGTTATTGCAACCTTATTGCAACCATTTTGCCCTGATCTTCTTAGTTCATTCACAAACCTTTAATCATGTGTCTAAATCTGCATCTCATTTGTAGCAGGTTGTTGAGAAGTAGTGTTGGGAAACATTTGAATTCTACAGGATGTATATAAGATTTGAAGAAAAGTTCAGTTTTCAGTAATCTCACTTTGTTCTATTTCTAACTTTCAACTGAAAAACAAACTACTAAAAAACTAAACTAAACTAAACCTGGTCAATATAAGTTTTTACTGTTCATCTTAGTAGCAGTCTCCTTCACTGGTGTTGGTCAATTAATTCGTTCAGTGTGAGCATTATTTACCCATTGGTCAGTTTCTATTGATTTATGTTAGTTGATCCTGTCTTCTCAGCTGACCTATAAGCTTTGATGGCTTTTATTTTGTTATTAAGATGTCCAGTGTATAAGAGGACCTTCTTTTATTGTCTTTGTGGTTCAACTTACAAATAACCCAATAGCTTTAAAAAAAAAAAAGATTGAATTATCCCTGTGTTAACCTAGCAGGAAGTCATAAGCAGGCCTGGGATGTGGGTCTGGAGGCCGACATCATTCTACTCATTCAAATATTTGGCCTAGGACCAGACAACAATGGTAACTCTTTAATAATATTTATTTAATAAGTACACTTACAGAACACTTACACTTTCTGTTGTTTTGTAGGTGTCACCTTTGACCCATTTGGGGCACCTTCTAAACCATCAGGGCAAGATTTGCTGGGTTCTTTCCTGAACACATCCAATGCTTCCAGTGATCCATTTCTTCAGCCTACAAGGAGCCCTTCACCTACAGTGCATGGTGAGAAAATATTTTCTGTTGTGGGACATATTTTCTGTTCAGTGGGACATAGTTTTCTAGTATGTAAGTGTGTAGATTTATGTAGGTGGTCAGATATAATAAGCATTCCGTAGTGCTGTTTTTGGAAAAATACATGAAGTGTCTCTTTTGGATATTAATGATTCCATTGGTTTATAGATAGTTTTAGGATATCCTATAGAAAATAAGCCTGCTTAACTTTATCATACTCAGCTTCCCTAAAACTTTTTTTCTAGGGAATTTTTTTTTTTAAAGATTTATTTTTATTATTTTTTTAATTGGAAAGGCGGATATACAGAGAGGAGAGACAGAGAGGAAGATCTTCCATCCGATGATTCACTCCCCAAGTGAGCGCAACGGCCGATGCTATGCCGATCCGAAGCCAGGAGCCTCTTCTTCTGGGTCTCCCACGCGGGTGCAGGGTCCCAAAGCTTTGGGCCATCCTCGACTGCTTTCCTGGGCCACAGGCAGGGAGCTGGAAGGGAAGCGGGGCTGCCGGGACTAGAACCGGCGCCCATATGGGATCCCGGGCGTGCAAGGCGAGGACCTTAACCACTGTACCACCGCGCGGGGCCCGGGAATTTTTTTATGATAGGAAATTCTTTAGCCTATAGCATAACATAGAACATATAATTTATTATGTGCCAGCAAAGAAAAATTTACACTTTTAACTGATTGGAAGATGCTTTCTGATAGGACAAATCTGTGAAATGTGGGAGAATATAAGTCATAAATTAAATAAATATATTACAATTTTATTAAATGAGTTTTCCACAGAACAAGTTTTGGGATATACCAACTTGACATATTAGAGCTCTTATGTTTGATAAGATAACAACTGACCACATGTGGCTATGGAGCACATAGAATATAGTTAGTCTGATTTAAGATATGTTTTATGTATTACATGTATAAAAATTTCAAAACATAGAACAGTAAAAGAATGTATAATATCTAATTTTTATGACTCTTAAAGTACTATTTTTAATAGATTGTTAAAACTATTACAAGCTGGTTGAAATGTGTTTTTTGTCAGTTAGTATAGGCCAGGCCTCCGGTAGCCACATTTCTCATTTTGGTCTGTGTCATACTTGTGAGTGAAGAGAACACTTCATTCTCCTTGTTGGGAAAACAGTAATCATCCTATAGTCAGTGGTCAGTCAGTTGCACTATCCTCCTGCTGGGTAATGTTTAGGTGAGACTCAGATATCATGATGGGGACAGATTGCCCACCTCCAGATCCTTGAGGTGTGACCTTCAAACTTCTGCAAAGCATCACCAATCTCCTGAAAATCAAGAGCTACTACATTTGAGTTCATATCTATTTTAAAAGAGAAAAATCCCTTGAGACATAGTGTTAGGAGAACAAGTAAGCAAATTACAATAATGAGAGGCAGAATGGAGATTAAGACACTTCATGAGCACTTTTTCATTTGAGTGAGTATTCCTGTCTCCCCCAGCAGACTGTACGTTTCTTGAAGAGACAATGCACCTTTGAATTCACAATTAACTGGTAGTTGCCTCTCGTATGTCAGGTTGTGTGAAGGATATGTGAATTTGATTGTAAGATTAAAGTTATAATGTCTACTTCTGTGTCCTAGTTGGAACTAAGACTGAGATCTGAGTTTAAAGAAAATCAGCACATGGCAGCAAATTGTCTATTTTCCCTTCCAGTTTGCATGGGTTATTATGGGACAAGAGAGGGAGTAAACGAAAGGAAAGAATTGTTATTTCTGATAATTGTTCATTCATTTTATCTTCAAGATGAGATGGTGTAAGATGTCTTAGTTGGAACTGAAAATAAAGCAAGCAGATACAAGGCTGAGCTTGGTGCCTTGATGACTCTCCTAGTGGTGGAGTCTCTGTATGTGAGTGTGTGTGTGTTTGTGTTTGAAATCACTTGCATTGTTAGTTTAGCATTAGCATTTCACTCTTTGACTTTTGGTGATAAAACCTAGAAATAAATTCTAACAGCATTAAGCTTCTTATTTTCTTTACTGAGTTTTTCTTCTATGTGTAGAATTTTTAGAAGAGTCATGATTATCTTTTTTGAATCTGTAATGAGTTTATTTTGCGTGACAACAGACATACTGGCCACACTAGCCTAGTGGAGGTTATCATCAGAGCCCAGCATGCACTCTGAATGACTCATCCTTATTCATTCACGCCACAACACAGGAGAAAACAGCATTATGGCTCTAAGGAGATCATACCACTAGTATACTTGTAAATGCCAAGCTAAGGTTAATTGAGTTTCAGGTGTTTTTTTTTTTTTTTTTTTCTTTTACTGCCCACTCAGTGTTAGGAGGTGGGAAATACAAAGAGGAATGAGTTCTTGCCTTCCAGGGCCTCCTAAGTTAATGGAGACAGATTCGTGAACAGTTACAGTCCTAAATGCATGAGTGAAAAGGTCAAACAGGGGGGAGCCACGGAAGAGCAGAGACACATAGTACATGGCTTTGACCAAGACTAATGTGAACAACCACAGACAAGGTGGAAATTATCAAGTGTTACCCAGTGTGAGAAGGGGGACAATGGGTCCATTGGGGTCATAAAACACTGCAGGCTTCATGAAAAGGAGTCTTTGTCAATGCAGAGAAATTGGTTTAGACATGGCTTATCCTCAGTCTGTTTCTTCTTCTGTTTGCAGCTTCTAGTACACCTGCTGTGAACATTCAACCAGATATTTCTGGAGGTTGGGACTGGCATGCAAAATCAGGTAAAGGTCAGAAGGTGATTTTTGTGTTCACACATGGTCAATTGCAGAGCATAAGTCTTTACTCAGGAGGAAGTTAGGACTCCAGTGGTGCATCTGTGTCATGTGTGTTGATGTTTCCTAAAGACTGCAATCTGGAGTAGCTTTTCCTAATGCACTTGCTACTTGTTCTGTTAGCTAACTTTTCTAAGTCTCTTTGTGTGAATGTCTGTCTTGACTGTATAAATAGATATGTGTGTGTATATATACCAATACCACAACCGCTTGTATTTTCTGAAAAGCCTTTTGTCCCCCTCCAAGTTGTGTAAGTTTAAAAAGTAAAGTAAATTAATAAGTTTATGGCATAGATGAGATGTTGAATAAATGTGAATATTCTTCATTCTCAAACTGCTTATTTGGGGGTTGGATTTGTCTAATTTTTTAAAATTTCTTTTCCTTGCCAGGATGATGCTGGCTTGTGTGACTTGCTCTAAACTGTACAACTTAAATGTACACAGATATATTCCTGAGCCAACACAATATGTGTATCACAGCAGCTTTCTGCTGTAGTTGCTCTTTCTTCTTGTTATTATGGGGGGAAAAGCAGGATGAAATTTTCTCTTCCTATAACTTCTAAGTACACATGATAGCATTCTCAAGCACCTGCACAGTGTTTTGTCACACACATGCATAGATGCCTTCATCGTGCATGACAGAAATGCTACCTCTCACAGATAATGGCTCCCTTCAGCACTCTCCCAGCCGCTGGCAGCCATCACGCTACTCTCCGTTTTTGTGCATTTCACCTCTTAAATCCTCATACAGATGGACTCATACAGCATGGGCCATTTTCCTGCAGGCTTATTTCACTGCACTTTGTGTGCTCAAAGTACCTCTGTGCTTTAGCACGTATCAGAATGTTCTAATCAAGGCTGAATAGCACTCCACGGTGTTTACATGCTCCACTCTCCTTGTTTTTCTGGAGATGGGCACATGGGCTGCTGCTGCTTCTCGGTTGTTGTGAATCAGGTTGCAATGAATGTGAGCAAGCAGAGCCTTCAGTCCCCTTGACTGTGTGCCAGAAGTGCTGGATCATATGGTAGTTTGTCTTTTTTTTTTTAAGGAACTGTCATGCTATTTTCTACAGTGCCTGTACCTTTTTGCAATCCTACCAACAGGTCACCAGATTTCTAATTTTTCTGTATTTTTGACACTTTTTGTTTGCTATTCTTTCTTAATGGCCATCCTAACAGATATAAAGTGATATCTCATTGTGACTTTCATATGCATTTCCTTGATAATGAAAGATATTGAGCATCGTTTTGTGTGTTTTTTTGGCATTTGTATCTGTGGATGTGTTTCCCAGTATTTTGCCCATTTTTAAATTGATCTATTTGTTTTTCTTTAAAGATTTATTTTATTTTATTTTCTGAAAGGCAGATCTACAAAGAGAAAAGGAGAGAGAGAAAGGTCTTCCATATCCACCGGTTTGCTCTCCAAATTTCCAGAATGATCAGAGCTGAGCCAGTCCAAAGCCAGGAGCCAGAAGCCTCTTTCTGTGTCTCCTACTCGGATGCAGGGGTCCAAGGACCTGGGCATCCTCTGCTACCTTCCCAAGTCATATACAGGGAGCTGGGTCAGAAGTGGGGCAGCAGGGAGTTGAACTACATCCCCCACCCCATGCAGGCAGAGTGTTAGCCTGTTAGGCCACCACATCAGCCCCAAATTGGTCCATTTGTTAACTTGCTGTTGAGCTGTAGGATATTTTTAAAGTATTTTTGAATACTATGCCATTATCAGATATTTTGTCCCATTGCATAGCTTACCTTTTCACTCTGTTGTTTCCTTTATTGTGCAGAAGTCTTTAAGTTTAGTGTAGTCTCATTTGTGTACTGTGCTTTAATTATTTGGTCTTGTATGTTTCTTTTTTGTTTATAAATCAGGGGTGAAATATTGAAGCTCTAAGACATTAAGTATGAGGCCTAATATCATCCAGGCAGTAAGGGACAAAGCCAAAACTTAAATCCAGACCAGATTCCAAACCTATAGAATTGAGGGAAGTTGGGCAGCATGAGAAATGAACATTGGAAAGAGTAGTTCACACATGTGGCCAGGAAGTAGCATGCACATGCCTATGTCTCAATGTTACTGAAGGACACCATTCACCTGAATTAATGAAGCAAGGTCCAGCAGTGCGTTCCACATTTAATCTTCTGCTAATTTTCCTAGAGATGGATGGGCAGTAGCTCTGGAATCCAGAATTTCAGAATTTATCTTGGACAGCTGGCTTATTGTCAATGATCTTATTCCTTTTCAGGAGGATTTGGAATGGGAAGTAAATCAGCTGCCACTAGCCCAACGGGATCCTCGCACGGCACTCCTACCCATCAAAACAAACCCCAGAATTTGGATCCTTTTGCTGACCTTGGAACTCTAGGTATGACCCTAGCAGGTTAACATATCAATAACACTTACTTATGGCTCCACACCTCAGATCTAACTCATGTGTGTCACAGCAAGCTGGTATTGCTATCTGGGACTTAAAATACTGTCTGCTTTTAAACTCTTTTGAAGGCTGAGATCACTCTTTAAATGGGAAATAGAAACAAAATAATACAACATAAAAATTTGATTAAAAATGTCATAATTCTGTTGAGGGACTAAGCTAGTGTTACAATGTAGTAGAAAAAATAGGGGGAGGGTAGGAGTGCATGACGGTAGAAGGAGAAATCCCTGAGCCTAAGGCACTATACCATGAAAAATAAAGATTAAAAAAAAATCACCATCATAAAAATTGTATGTATTTATGGGGTGCTGTGTGATGTTTTGTTCCATTTATACATTGTGTGTGATATCCAATTAAGATTATATATATATATATTTGAGCATTTAGCATTGCATTATAACAAAAAGTACAAAAATCCTATTTTCTAATTTTTTTCTAAATAGAAAGATATACAGTAAATTAATCCAAGCTTCAAGTTTTTCTATGTGGAGAAATAAACAGTAAGTTAATATCTCCACCCTACTATGAAACAGGACCCAGAATTCCTATCTAAGTATAACATGGTATCCATCAGCTATCTCAGCTCCTCCCTCCTCACTTGCCTCCCCAGCCTCTGATAATCACAATTGTATTTTGTAAAGTGTATAAAATCATTTTTAAGATTATACAGATGAGTGTAATCATGTGATAATTGGCTTTCTGCACTTGTAGTATTTCAAGTAGTATGTTGATCTCTATCTAGTTGCATCCATGTTGCTGCAAATGACAAGACTCATCCTTGTTAATGACTGAGTAATATTAGAAATGTACCACATTGTCTTTAGCTGTCCTTCAGCTGATGGACACCTAGCTTGTTTCCATTCCTTAGTTATTGTGACTAGTGCTATGGTAAACAAGAGGATACAGATGTCTCTTTGACAGATAGATTTCATGTCCCTTGAAATAAAATATATATCCAGAAGTGAGATTGTTGGATCTTAGTTCTTAGGTAGTTGTATTTTCAGGGCTTTTTCTTTTTTGAGGCAACTCACACTGCTTCCCACAATGACTATACTAATCATAAAACTTCTAAAAACATTAAGTGGTTTTCCTAAAGCCACACAGTGAGACAGAAAGAACTGTACGTTAGAATTCTTGATTCCTTAGCTGAGTTCCCTGAGAGTGAAAAATCTCCAGATTACATAGCAGCAAAAGATAAAAGATAGTGCTTTTCTCTTTAAAATATCTCCCCTTTAAACACATTTGAAACAAAGACTAATACCTTGGTTCCTCGAATGGATTCTGTGGTATAATTGGTCCAGATGTGGTTTGGGAGCTTAAAGAGCTCCCCTGGGAAACCACGTCCATGTTTTCCATAGCAACTACAGCAAAGTCTGAAAGGAGTTATAGAATGAAGAAGTTCACAGATAGTCTGAGGTTACCTGAGCCAAAATGTGGGGGATCAGGGAGGGCTAGTGGAAGTGGCTTCTAAGCTGAAACCTGTGATGTGATTGGCATATGAGGGAAATAGCAGGCAATTTCATTGGCTCCAAGACTTGCTTGAAGTTTTGGAAACTCTAGAGCAGAAACAGCTTTAGAAGTTGGTGAAGCTGAAATGGAGAAGGTGACTCATTCTGCTCATCCTAGCAACAGTGTTCTGTCCTTGCCTATAGACGCCCTCATTCATTAGGTTTATGTCAGTAATTACTGGGTGTCAAGCATTCAGCATGTGAAAAGGAATAATATCCCTGTTCCTTGGAGCTTCCTTAATCAGCTGTAAAATATTCACTGCAAAAGGGGATATATAAGATGGGACATTTAAAAAAAGCAAAGTTCCCCAGGTAATTCTGATGTGCACTCAAGGCTGACAACCTGCTTTAGTTTTAATGAGGGTAGCAATGGCCTCTGGGCTTAGCCACTGCTTTGTATGCCTGTCATTTCCATGCTTCAGTAGCACTAACAATTAGAATTACTGAACACAAGTAGAGAATATCCTGCAAGGGCAGACATCAGAAGTCTGACAGTGTTGATGAGCCCCAAGAGAGCAAGGTCAGCATGTGTGTGTTCACTGTTGTGTGTCAGCCTGGCATGTGGATTGCTCTGAAGAGTTCCATCAGTGAACGAATAAATGACAGGGTGGTGGGAATGTGGTAGGTTTTAGCTGTTTTTCATATCTATGGAAATTTCTTTGTGCTTTTGAGTGTGTACTTGCTGAATTTTAAGAGTAAACACACTTAGAACAAAGTAAGCATACTTCAAATAGGAAGTAACACTTCAGTGCAGAATGAATAAGCACATCGTCAGGGTGTGATGATGATGTGCACTTGGTGAAAGGATGCCATGAAACAGGCTTCCTGTTGTGAGTGACGGAATGAAATGGCATTGCCTCTCTCAATACAAACCCTCCTGATACTTGTTCTGTTGCCAGATATTTAATGAGCTCTTATGATGTCCCAGGAATGTACATATGAACTTGAGACTTTTTAAAATCATATACAATGTCTCTTAGTTTGCTTAAATCAGAGTTGTGTATCAGTTTCATATATTTGTGTTTTTGTACGTTTACATGTGATCCTGATATAGCTTTGATTTCATGGATGATTCCTCAAAAGGAGCAAGGTTTTCAACCAGCTCAGGAAGAGCAATGATTTTGTATATCCTGTTTTTAGCTATCTGCATATTCCTATTGGCAAGTGTAGTAGCAAGCACCTTGTGGGTGTCCAGCATATACTGGTGGATGAATGTGTGAATAGGTGAATGTAATGATGAATCATACAATGATGAGTGAGAAATAGAGCTGGGACTCAAACCTGGATTGACTCTGTTCTCAAGGAAGAGGGAAACAGGAGAACTGAAATCAGGATACAGGGAAAAATTCTTCAGGACAAAGGTAGTAAAGAATGAGTTTTAGTGAAAAATTTGGAGATTTGGGGAGGAATCAGAAATTATGGTGCAACAAATGCACATGGTCTTTGAAGATGAGACAATATGATCAGGTCCCAATTCCATTGGCTGGATATGTGAACATGAGTATATGAATAAGCCTCTTCAACCCTTGCTTTCCTTGCCTTGAAGTGGAGCCAGAAGTACCACTTACACCTTAAGTGTGTGGTGTAGATCCAAAGGTACTAGTGTTGGTATCCACATGTTGGAAACTGAAGAGCTGTGTAAATGTTAGTTATTTTATTATCACTGTTATTTTGCCCTCATTATAGAGGGCCCTGGGAGATCTCATTTCAACTTCTTATTTTGCCTCTTAAACTCATCATATTTTCCAATCAGCCCACTGTATCTGCAGTGAGTGATTAAAAGTTATGATGGTATAAACAGGATTTTCTCAAATTCCTGGCACAAAGTAACACTATTTTTTGGTAAGCTTAAGTAAGACCCGTGGTCTTATTCAAAGTTGTCAAAGAATTATTCGTTTTTATTCTCCTGAAATGAAATAGAAATCTGTGAAATTTCAAAACACCTTTACTTATTTTTAGGCCTTAACCATGCACAAACAATGCTTAATCCTGATCAATGAAGTTTAAAGTACTCCATTAATGAAAGAACTTATCTACTAATTTATTGGTATACTCCCTGTTCTTGTTGGGTGGTGTTTACACCTGTAAAGAACTAAAATCTGCTTAGAAGGTGGGAGTTTAGGGAGGGTTAAAACAGTTGGAAGAGCCAGAGCTCTCCAAATTTGGACTACAAGACACAGAGAAAGTCTCAGTTCTGCTAAAGGGGGCTGGGTGATGTTCAGAAACTTCACTTAGCCATTCTGAGCAATACTTCTTTCATCTGGAGGAAAAAAATAAGACAGTGAATACATACCTAAAAATGTAGTTGAGTAACTATTAGGAAGGAAAAGTATGCTGTCAGAAAGGCAATTTCCACTGATGTTGCTGCAGATAATCTCTTAGTTAAGTGTATTTATTTTAAAGGCAGAGTTACAGAGAGAAGAGGAGAAACAAAAGGAGAGAGAGAGTATTTGTTCATTGGTTCACTCCCCAAATGGCCTCATTGGCTGAGTCTGGGCCAGGCTGAAACCAGAAGCTAGGAGCGTCATCCGTTGTCTTACATGGGTGCAGAAACCCAAGATCTAGACTATTTTCTGCTGCTTTCCCAGGCACATTAATAGGGAAATGGATTAGAAGTGGAATAGCTGGGACTTGAACCAGTGCTGATACAGGAACCTGCTGTATCACAGCACTAGCCCTGCAGACACAAAATACAAGAGTGAAAGACTACGCAAACAGCATTGTTTTCTCTCCCCACCTCATTTTGTTCTTGTAGGTAGTTCTTCATTCGCCAGCAAACCTACCACTCCAACTGGCTTAGGTGGAGGATTTCCACCTCTGAGTTCACCACAAAAAGCATCTCCCCAGCCAATGGGTGGAGGGTGGCAGCAGGGAGGTGGCTACAGCTGGCAGCAGTCGCAGTCCAAACCACAGTCCGGCATGCCGCACTCCTCACCCCAGAATCGACCAAACTACAATGTGAGCTTCTCAGCTATGCCTGGAGGCCCGAATGAACGTGGAAAAGGATCTGCTAACTTGGGTAAGGATGACAGTTTGGGCCGTACTTGTAGGAGGTCCCGTCTATGCTGCCCCATTGCCTATTAGATGTCTGACTGAGACAGAAAATAATTACGATGGTTTCTGAGGTAATCTTATAGTCATAAGACACATTTGCCCTTAAATCCCGATCAGAAGATGTGTCATGCATTTAGTCTTTATTACTGTGTGGTTGGTGGATTCCCAGGATGAATGGGTCACCTGCGATGGTGTCAGCACCTGGGTTTGACAGCAAGTAAAAAAATAATGTATTTTGTGTAGTGGGATCCCTAGATTTGGGTTTATGAAAAGTCCTGTTTTGATACATTTTACATCCCCTATAATGAAATATATAGGAATATGATGAAGGAACAGGTCTGCCTTTCTTCAGAACAAGAAAAAGACAGTTCTTTTGCCCTTCTAGTGTCAGTAGCTAATATTTGTTGAGTGCTTACTATAGATATAGATGAGGACCCTATAACACAAATCTGTAATTCCCTGTGTTCATATGGGTTAAAATTGACAGAGCCAAGACTTGGGTTCCAGTGGTCTGACTCCATTTGTTCTTAATTGCCACCTCTATTGGCTGTGACACAGATGAGTCTTCACAACATCCACGTGATAGGAATTCCATTGTTGGGAATATGTAACAGTATGGTTATATGGTTAATAGCTTCTGTACTTTGAGAATTCCATAGAAGCATGTAGCATGCCCTCGATTTTTATCTTGAATATAGAAAACATTGAGGAAGGGACAGATAAAAATCCCTAGCCTTGGAGAGCTTAAACTTTAGTGTGTGCTCCTGTTAGTGTATGGTGATGGGAGATGCTTGTCAACTAAAGAACAACTTTATGTGATGAGTACAGGCTGCTGGTCTGTTCTGTTTTGTTTTCTTTAGCAAACATTTAGATATCCAGGCAGCCATTTAAGCACTGAGAATGTTAACTCATTGACTCTCACAACAACTTTAGAATGTAACTCATATTATTAACAGCATTCTTGGATTACAGATGAGAAAACTGAGGCACAAAAATGATGAGCAGCTTGGCCAAGTCGTAGCAGTAGGAAGTGGCAGGGCTGGAATTAAAACAAGGAGTCTAGTTGCAAATTTTGTTTCTCACCATCATGCTTGGCTACTTCTCCAAAGGCATTGAAGAGGAAAAGAGCCCTGTGACAGATTAAAACTGTCAGCTATATGGCAGGAGTGTAGCATGCATGGGTGCAAATGTCAAAGCCCAGGTCCTTGTCCCATCACTGACCCTGATTTGTAGTTAAGCTGGGCAAATAGCAAGTATTCTCCTTTGAAAAGAAGGTATAGTGGACATGAAACTGAATTTAGTGTTGTGTTCCAGACCCTAAGCCTAGTCTTGCTAGACACCTGTTATGTATTTCTGGACAAATCTCTCAAGATCAGTGGTAAGACTCTATTTTTCTCAGCTGTAAAATGAGCATGAGAATATTTTTACCCTACTCGGAGGCAAAGGGTGAGTTCTTAGTGCATGTAGGAGCACTAAGTGGTATGAGATGATGATGTGATATTCTTCTTAAAACGCATAATTTTCAAAAATTGTATTACAGAAGGAAAGCAAAAAGCAGCCGATTTTGAAGACCTGCTCTCTAGTCAAGGTTTCAATGCTCACAAAGACAAAAAGGGGCCTCGAACAATAGCAGAGATGAGAAAGGAAGAAATGGCTAAGGAGATGGACCCTGAAAAATTGAAGGTGAATGAGCCCCTTAACTCAGTGTGGTTTTCCTGTATGACAAGGTCACGAGACAAAGTCATGAACACGTGTGCTCATATATGAATCCACAGGCATGAGAATCACTATTACTTTAGTCCCTTCAGGCTACTATAGTGCAATACCATATAGATACTGTATGAGTTCGAAGCAACAGAGGTTGGAAGTTCAAGATTAAGGTGCCTGCAGGTTTGGTTTTGATAGGGATCACTTTCTGGTTCATAGTGGTGGTCTTTTCCCTGTGTCTGCCCGTGGCTTTCTGATGTCTTTTACAAGGACACATGTATATAGCTCATTCTATACAGAGGGTATTACCTTTATAGCCTAATCACCCCTCAGAGGTCCCATGTTCTAACAGGATTTCAATACTTCACTTCACTGGGGTTTCTTGTTTTGGTTTTAGATTCTGTTTTTGCTGTAGGGAAGACAAACATTCAGATCATAGGACCCATGAAAGGCACTGAGATTTTGGATGATACTTGTGCTTTTAATAGCAGAATAGTGTTGGGGTTGCATCTATAATCCTAGTTAATATTTTTAGTAATGTAAGCTCTATTCCATAGTTTGGCAATCTAGATTTCCTCTTTAAATGTGATGACAATTCAGATGACATTCAGATTCTAAAAATAAATCATTGCAATTTGATAAGAAGAGTACATAATTTATGGTTCCTCTTCTTCCTTGAGAGCTTTTAATTAAACTACATTAACTGAACCACCCCTTGCTCCAGAGAGACAAACACTTATGTCCACATGAGTTCCCAAACCCTGTAACATCAGCCTTGCAGGTGGGAAAGGTAGAGGAGAGGAAGGTGAGGCCGAGAGTCTCCTAGCCTCACCAGGGACTCCCTTCTTCAGCAGAGCAGGTCTACTTTGATCTGTTTGTAATTATGATGAGCTAAGTAAGATTTAATTTGGAAAGATCTCTCTCTCTTTCTATCTGTTCCCACCTGCTTCTCTCTCTGTGGTTCTGACTTTCAAACAAATATGTAAATATTTAAAGAAAAAAAAAAAAAAGACAAGTCCTGAGCAGGCATTTGAAGAGCAGTGAAGGCAGGAGGTGGAGGTGGAAGAGCATTCCTTGTGGAATACACAGGGTACTGGAGTAGGAATGGCTTTCAGAATCCTGGCAGAAGCCTTTCAGCTCAGAAAGCATTGCAGTTCCCTAATTCCCTCTGCATTTACAGATTCTGGAATGGATTGAAGGCAAAGAGAGAAATATCAGAGCCCTTCTCTCCACGATGCACACGGTGTTGTGGGCTGGGGAGACCAAGTGGAAGCCCGTGGGCATGGCAGACCTGGTAACGCCGGAGCAGGTGAAGAAGGTGTACAGGAGGGCTGTGCTGGTGGTGCACCCAGATAAAGTGAGTCACATCTCTTGGCTGGGCCTGACTTCACTATTTTATGAGCATGGATTAAAACATCATACTTTGAGTTTACAAGTTGATTAGGCAAAACATTCCATGATTTTAGGTTCATGGGGATAAAATCAGGCATTTAACCAAGTAATTCTATTTTATGAAGTGGGCAGAAAGAAATCAAAGTGCAAATTACACATAGCAGGGATGTGAGATTCATAAAGAACTTACTTTCAGGGTCAAGGTCACCTTGAGCTGCTGTAGTAGTAGTAAAAGGCTAAGATCTGGACAGAGGAACTTGTCCTTGTTTGGAATACAGCAGCATGCTCAGCCTAGAGTCTGATGGGAAAGCCTTCGCTTGTGGTTGGCAACAGTGGTCAGAATCAATAAAATATCCAAAATGGGCCTGAATTTATCTTTGCTTTGACTGTGTCACTTATGTTTTTATTGCTGTGGGCCACACTGTAACTTCCACTCCCTTATGGTGCAGTGGAAGTCATCATACTGCCTTAAGGAGAGGGAACAGTAATTGTCACACAGCCTGGCACGATAAACAAACAAAAAACATTTCAGATGCTTAGAACCTATATATTCATAGTGAAAAGCTTAACAAAATTTGAATCTGTGGTATATAATGTTTATTTTTCTTTTTTTTTCTGTAGGCTACTGGACAACCCTATGAACAATATGCAAAGATGATTTTCATGGAGCTGAATGATGCCTGGTCTGAATTTGAAAACCAAGGCCAAAAGCCTTTGTATTAACTTAGGAGCTTTCGTATCTCTGCTGCAGACCTGTGCTAATGCTTAGTGTGTATCGCAGTTCCAAGGTTTTCACAGATGAACCAAAAACTCTAGTAACTTGTTTCCAGTACTAGGCTGTTAAGTTACTCGTGAATTAATTTCTCATTGATAAGGAGTGTAGATGCTTGGTTTCTGGAAGTTCTAACCAGCATATATTTAGAGCAGGAGAGAACTTTCAGTCAGAGGATCTAGCTGAGTTCTCGCATTCCAACCTGCTCTTTGGGGAGCCTATTCAGTATTTTGCATGAGGGAAAATGGAAAATAGAGGCCACCAGAGATGGAGGCTTAATGGCAAGCTCCTTGTCTGGAAATATGATTAGTGAGCAGAAATTACGGGAATAGGAGTACATGATGGTTTTAAATAATGGTTTTTAAAATTTTTTTTAAAAAGATAGAATTTCAGCAGTGGCTTTACAGACTCCAGTAACACAACCAACAAGTTTTTTTTTAATATATAAAAATGAAATGTATTATGACTTTTAGCATAATATGGGATATACCTTTTGGTAAAAAGGCCTAACAAAAACAAAAGAACATGAATTGTTGAAAGTAATTATACTACAGAGTCAATGATCACCACCAAATCTGCCTGGGCAAGTTAAAAAACTGGTGAAGAAAGCTGGGCGTCTGAAGACGCAGAAATCTGTAGCTGGGCGCAATTTTGGGCTGCTACTTTCCTTTCCCTTCAAGAACTGTGGTTGAGTAAGGCAAGTCTTAATTCCATAACAGCTCTAGACCTGATTTGAAAGAAACTTCTGAATTTGCCATAAGACTTAACACTATTCCTTTTGCTTGGGAAAAAAGAACCTTCTTATCTAGAAAGAGCTTGTAAAGCAGTGGGGCCCATTCAGTTTTCCAGGACCAATATCTAGTTTGAGCTCTGTGTTCCCTAGGTTTTGGAGTGCTTGTAGGTGAAGACTAGGAGACAACAGCGAGAGTCCTAGTCACAAGAAAGGGATGATAGCAGTGAGAGCTGGCACATCCGCAGCTGAGCCAGGTGGCTTGTCAGTATTTGGCCAAATCAAGTGACCTTCACTCCATCTGAAGCATATGGATCCTGTGGATTACTACAGTGGGGTTTGCTACTTAAAAAGTTGTAGGGGGCCCACAGCAATCATATTCACATGGGAACCTTTGTGAAAGGCAAGCAAGAATGAAATCTTTTCAGACCCTAAACTAGCTGGATTTCAACTCAGTGTGGTGGCTGCTTTTCATTGTAAGAAGTATGCAATTTGCTGTCCTGTGGCTTGAATAGATCCCTTTGGATGCACACACACACACACACACACACACACACACACACACAGCAGATGGGCATAAAGAATGTCATGCTAATCTTAAAAAGCTTATGTTTAGTGTTGTGAAAAGCTTTCAAACGTTACTTTTAAAAGACAATCATGTTTTCTTTCCGTTTATTTATTTATTTTTTTTGTGGCAAACTGTACCAGAAATGCAGCATGTCAAACCACTTTAGGTTCTGTAGAGCTCTCTCACTCTTTGCTTCCTCTTTCTCTTTTTGGTTATAAAGGTTCATTATTTGTTTTACCCTTCACTGACAATGTGAAACTCGCAGAAAAATTTTCTTTTTAAATATACAGCTGTAAACTGTTCAGGATAACCATAACTAGGTGTTATTTATTAACATACTATAAAATAATGTTTGGCCAAGTATGTGCTTGTCTTATTTAAAATTGGAATGTGAGACATGTTGCTGTGACCTGTTTTTTTTTCTTGTTTACATTTGTAGATATTGTGTGAACTACAGTATATAGCGTTAATAACTAAAGGACATTATGTGGATGTCACATACATTTTAAAATGGTAGATCTCTATTAGCTTTGTATCATGTTTGGATAATCCATCATGTTCACAGTTTAAAACCATCATTAAACATTATGTAATTAGCAATGAGAAAGAACCTCACTTACCTATAATTTGGGAATTCCCCCAATCTCTTTCCAGATGAATTGTAACTCTGGACCTTATATATCTCAAAACTGACAACGTGTGCAGACACAACAGGTGTTTGCATTTCTTTTAAATAACTGGTTGTGACAGAGCTTGTTGTTGATCAGATTCACCATTTCATTCATATTTATTATATTTTTTGTTTTGTAAATATGTTACACATAACAAGATGTGATTGGTCTAAAATATTTGTAATGTATATTAAAAGGCTAAAAATATTTGTCGAAACTTGTTATTTGTGCACTTGTGTGAAATATGACAACACCCTGGAGTTATACCTTCTGGCGTGATTTGTTTTTTTCTTTTTTGTTTGTTTTAATATTTGTTGTTTTGAAGGGCAAAATTACAGAAGGAGATAGGGAGAGAGAACAATCTTCCATCTGCTGGTTTACTCTCCAAACGGCTGCACAGCAGGGCTGGACCAGGCTGTAGATAGGAGCCAGGGGCTCCATCCAGGCTCCCCATGGGGATGCAGACCCAAGGACTCAGGCCATCCCCTGCTTTCCCTGATGCATTAGCAAGGAGCTAGATTGAGGAGGAGCAGCCACGTGCTTGAACCGAGGATTGAAGCCAGCACTCACGCAGGATGCCTGTTTGTAGGTAGTGCCTTGACTTGTCATACCACATTACAGGGCCCCATGGTTCACTTCTAAGGAAAACAAACAATATATCTGTACTACAGTGTAAAATAACTGAGGTGGTATTGCCAGGTTTATATTTTAACAACCTCTGTCCTACAGTGAGTGAGTGTTCTCTTTCTCTCTCTCTCCCTCTTCTCCTTCCCTCCCTCCCTCTTTTACTCACACTCACATACACACACACACACCTTTGATCGCGCTAAATGAATATTCTTCACAGGGAATAGGCATAGAAATCCTGCTTGCCCAGTTAGAATATTAATGGGTTTTCAAAAGTGTGCTGAGGCAAAGGGAATGATCCTGGGAGTTTAGGACTTTATTATGGAAACAAAGCTTCAGATATTTTAGCTTTTTAAGGACCAAAATGGGATTTTCATTTGGAAGCAGATGCTGCAAATGAAAAGCATTTGAACTCTTAAACCCTACATTGGGAAGGATGCTCTAGCTGGATCCCAGGGCCACTGATCAAATACCATGTGTTTGGGATTAATGCAGATTGTCTTCCAGAAACACTCACTTATCAGAGCAACAAGCCATCTAACCTGCAGGAAACACTTACCAGGGAATTGAGATAAAATAAACAGGAGTAATTGTCCTAAAGATAAACCATAGTGTTTGAGCATAGTGGTATATATGTTAGCTTCAGACCATTCACTGTATTTAAATCCTGATTTTTTTTTCCACTCACAGAGTGGAATATTGGACATATTTCTTGATTTTCCTCACTCTTAATTTCATCAACTGTAGGAGTCCTAACAACCCTGCCATGGATGAATGAAGTCCTTTGTGTGTGTAAATTATTATCAGCTGGGTTCTTAGTAAACAATGACTGTTGCTTTTGTTGCTGATGGTAAATCAGAGAGTATCAGTGAAGGTCAGTAGTGCAGATAGAATTAACCGTGAAACCTCACCTTGTGGGGAGTGAAGAATGTGAGGAGGAAAAGGCATCCAGACTAATTTGTGCTTTATGACATTGTGCCACAAGGTAGACTTACACCATCGATGTGACACTCGGATCTGTCTTGCATTATCCTAGGTGTCACTATTCACTCTCTCATCTAATTTTTTCTTTCTATCGGAAAGTCAGATTTATAGAGGGAAGGAAGGACAGAGAAAGATCTTCATGTGCTGCTTCACTGCCCAGAGATGGCCGCAGTGGTCAGAGCTGAGCCAATCTGAAGCCAGGAGCTTCCTCTGGGTTTCTCACATGTGTGCAGGGTCCCAAAGACTCCAGCCATCTCCCATTGCTTTCCCAAACCGTGAGCAGGGAACTGGACGGAAAATGTGCCCGCCCATGGTCTGGGAAATCAGCGCAGGAAGCTCCTGGTTTCGGATAGGCCCAGCTTTGGCCCTTGTGGCCATTTTGGGGAGTGAATCAGTGAATAGAAGATCTGTTTCTGCTTCTTCGTGTTGCCCTGGTTTTCAAATAAAGGTAAGTTTTGGACCATGCGGAAAGTCCAGCATCTTATTGTCCAGATAGATTCAACAGTTTCATTGGGAAACCATCTTTGGTTTGAAAGTAGAGCTTAGTAGAATATCATCTGACAATAGGGAGGAGGTCTTTCGGGAGGGGCTGGGGAATCCCAGAGCCTATGAAACTATGTCCTAAAATGATGTAAAATTAAAAAATAAAAATAAAAAAGGAAATAAAAGCACACAGTTGGCAAAAAATAAGTTTTTAAAAATTAAAATAGAACAAAATAATTCTTCCTATCCACAAACCACCGAGCTGGCAAAGGGGGAGGGGCAAATTACAACGTTGCTGAAAGCTATTGAAGGGCCGCGACCCTAACCTTAAGGATGCCTGGCGCTTTGCCGCGGGCTAAACCACTCAACGCCCTTTGGGGTTTAGTGAACTTCCCTGCTCATGAAAGCAACTGGCCGCGCTTCCTTCTCCCCACTTTCTCCGCCTCGACTCCCGTGGGTTTTCCAGGCCGGCGTGAACCCCAGCGCCGGGCTACTCGCCTCCCGATGTACCCGGGGCGACCCTGGGCCCGAAGTCGGACTGGAGCCTAGACCCCAGGTCCCAGATTGAAGCGCGGAATTGGTGAGGGCGCGTTCAGAGATTAGAGAGCGGGCTCAGGGCGGGAGTCAGCCTGGGGAATATCCGGCCGTGTCAGTCGTTGGTCCAGGAGCTTTCCTCGGCCAGCCAAGGCGACACTCCGGCCCGTGGGGGCGGGACTCTGACGACCGGGCCCAATAGGAGCGCGGCTCCGCGAGCTCCCGAGGTGGAGCTGTGCGGAGTCCTAGCTCGGCGGGGGCGGGGCTCTGACTGACGGGCTTCAGGGCCAGTAAGAACGGGCTCTACCGCTAGGCGGGGGCGGGACTTGAGCTGGAGGCGGAGTTGTGGATCGGCTGAGGCGGGCCTCTGCCTGCTGGGGGGCGGCCTCGGGATCCATGGGAGGCCCGGGCCCTGGCGAGGGCGGCGGCCGGCGCTGGGGCCGCGGCAGCAGGAAGCCGGAAGCAGCCGCGGCCCCAGCTCTGGAGACATGGCCGGCGTTAAAGGTACATCCGCAGGCCCCCGTCGCCTCGCCTGCGGCGGGGGCCGCTACCTGCGCTCGGGACGCAGCACGCCGGCGGGGACGGCTTCCTGCAGCCTCGCTACCTTTCCGGGGCCTCCGCGAGGGGAGGCAGGCGCTCGCTCCTTCGCCTCTTGCTGATGCGGGTGGAGGGGCGTTTCGCGGACCCTCAGCCCTTCTCGGCGTGGCCACTGGCGTCGAGCTGTCACCTCACGTCTCCCATTGCCCCCGGGCAGAGGCGTGGCCTGGGAGCGGCGCCTCCTGGGGAGACCGCGCCGGCCCGGAGCTTTGGTCCCGGGCTAGCTGCTCCTCGGTTCCGCCAGCGTCTCCCACAGCCAGGGCTGGATGAAGCAGGGCTTTGACGCTTCTCCTCCTAGTTCCTGCTTTTCCGGTTTCCCATCGCTAACTTACAAAGGAGGCTTTGTTTCCAGCGTCTTCGACCTTGGGAAACTTAAACCTGACGAGTTTTCCACCGGGGCTGGGTTGGCCACGGGGAGGACGGGCGCCCTATGGGACGCATCCAGATGTGCTCCATTTCTTTAGCGCTTTCTCTGTTCCTCTATGGACGAGCAGGACTGTGGTAGTTGGCGCCGTGTTGTTTGGATATGGGCAGTTGTTGCCAGGGGGGTGCCAAGACCACCAAGAGGACTGGGATTGGAAGCAGTAGAGATGTTAATGCAAAACCTACCCATACTTTAGCAGAGACTTCTCCGTTTCTAATCTAAAGAGAAGTTCTGGAAGTATAACTTGTTTCTCTGTTGGGGTGCCTATCCTCTGGGAAGTTTGTTACAAAGATTGCTCCTCCCTAGTTATAGAACATCTGGTGTAAATATGTTACTGTGTACTCCAGCTGTATGATGTTTGTTACGCATTTATCCAACTGTGTGAACCGTTAGCAGCAGACACATTTTATCATTATTGTATCACTTTTATGCTATCAACTTAGTGAGCATGGTTTACTTGGATAGTGGCCAGTATGTAACGTATGCGTTTGAAGTTGAAGCAGAGACTCAGTCAACAAGTAGTTATTGTTATGCACGGTGTTGTGGGGCCTAGAAATTACTAAATAATAATCTTTGTTAGAAATGAAGGTAAGAGAGGGAAAAGGACCAAGGGAACACTTTTACTACTGCGCAACTGTTTATGTTGAAGACTTGGGATGGAAGAATAAATGAGCAGTTAGTGCTGGCTGGCAGAGTTGTGACTTGTGATAGTGCTGTGTTGAGGCATAGTATGTGCTCAGGCAGTGAAAGCATAGGGATGGAGTGGTGGATTGAACTTTGTCCAAAAAAGATGATCATGAGTGTGACCTTGTCTTGGAATAGACCTTGGCAGATGCAGTCCATTTCAGATGATCCTGGCCTGAACCTGTGACCTAATCCATTGGCTGATGTTCTTGGACAAAAAGGAAAATTTCCACATGGTAGTGTGAGATGGGGCAGAGATTGGGCTGATAGTGACTACCTGCCAAGGAGTACCCCAGATCACCAACACCCATCTGGTGTTAAGGAATGGCAAGCCTGGATAGTTCCCTGCGGCCTTCAGAGACAGCATGGCCCTACCAGCACCTTGCATTCAGACATCTGGAAACATTGGGTTGAAGGCAATTTCTCAGTGGGAGTGTGTATGGAATTGATATTGGATTCCTACTCAACTTCAGCTTTGTTTAATCATAACTAATTGTGAAAATTATGAATTTTTTTCCAGAAGAAAATTTGGATAATGATGTCCATGCTTTTGATGTATACCTTTATCAAAGAACATTGCTTAGATGATATGCCTGCCACACTCTACATTTATTTATTTATTGAACACCTCCTTTGTCCAAGAACTTTAGAAGGATTAATTCATTTACTTCTTATAAACTCATCAAGGTGGCACCATTGTTCCTCTATTACAAATGAGAAATCAAGTTTAAAGAGGTTTGGCTTCTGAAACCCCAGATCATAGAACCAGTTGATGGCAGAATTGAAATTCACTATTTGATCTAACTAGTATCTGTGGGTTGGGAATTGTTTCCCGTGAAGATGTTTAAGCAGTCTTCCAATATTTGAAATACCAAGGTATGCAGAGGCAAATAATCAAAGGTGTGTTATAGGGAGGAGGAATTTGCAAATCACAGTTTAAGGAAGGAGGGTTTTCAACACTTAGGAACTCAAGGTGAAATGCCCTGTTCAGTTGGTGGTGAAGTTTTCCCTGGAGTTGTATAGACCAGCTTGTTGACCTTTATAGGAAACATAGAAAGGATTCAAATATTACATAGGGACTGGGTCCTGGAATTCTGTGAGATCTTTCCCCACCATATGATTTTAAAGTGGCAGACAAAGGCAGTTATAATTGAGCTGCTATAGCAGATTATGATTCTAGGCTGTTTGGCTTAAACAACCCATATTTCTCATGGGTCTGGTCTGGAGGTTCGGAGGCCCAAGGTCAAGGTGTAGGCAGATCTGGAGTCTGGAGAGGGCTGCCTCCTGTTTGTAATGGCCAGTTTTTCTTAGTGTCTGCATGTAGAGGACAGCAGAGACGAGGACAGCCTCTCCATCACTGTCTTTGTGTACATGGCACCATCGGGATTTTGTCGACACGTAATTACCTCCCAGGGACTTTCAGTGCCATGCCACCAAAGGCTAGGGTTTCAGTATGCGGATCTATGGGGATACAAATGCACAGTCCATTAGAGCAGTATTTTCTAGTAAAATGCAATATCAATAATAGACTAATTGCTTTGTTTACTTAAATTTGCTTTTTATTGAGACACGGTACATATGCATAAATACAAAATTCCATGGCCTGCAGAATTTTCACAAGGTTGAGCAACTATTAGTGCTCATCCAGAAATATTTCATTGAACTGTATATATTTGAATGTATTTCAATGAAATAATATACTTTAGTAGCGCTCCCACTTCCCCCATCCCCCTCCAGCTCCTAGCAACTATTGACCTGGTTCCTTTAACTCTTGATTTTGTTTTTCACAGCTCTTGTGGCTTTATCCTTCAGCGGGGCTATCGGGTTGACTTTTCTTATGCTGGGATGTGCCTTAGAGGATTATGGGTAAGTTTTCATTTCCAAAAGAACTATTGTTTCTCTGTGTCTTGGTAACTGTTAGTAAGGACGTTTGAGAGTTTGATAAATTTAGCACCAAACTCTAACGGAGTTAACAAAGCCAAGATTATGAACCCACTTTATTCCCAGGTCAGATGTATTCACAGGGAACAGCACTCTTCAGAGGTGACAGATTCGTTTGATAGTATGTGGTATGTGTCTGCTCCAGACCACCTGGGGTATGGTGGTCTCAAGAAGCTTCCACTTCTAGTAGTGAATGAGAGGCCAACACTATAGTCAGTACAGCTGCAACCCTAGTAGGATGTGCGAGAAAAGGCGTTTGAGTTTCTGAGTTCCTCTGGGACAGCAGAGTTTGTATTGGAGCCAAGACTCTGGTTAAATGAAAGTTTCTCAGGCTGCTGAATCAGAAGAGGGCATATGCACTAGATTTCTTTATTCATCACCGGCTGGTCCAGTGCTTCCCAGTGCTAGCTGCTGTTAAGGTCTGTGTGGGGCTAAGAAACAAGAAAGCAAAGACTCCACTCTCTCAAGAGTCTGTATTTCAATATGGGAGATTGACAAAATATACAAAGTAACGTGCATTGTGCCAGTGGTGGAGGTGTGATGAAGAATTGAGGGCAGAGAAGCTGAAGGGGAGATGGGCAGGGAAGGCCTCTCTGAGAGGCTAACATATGAGTAGAAGTATCGAGCAGGTAAGGCCATGAGCCATGAAGGTCTTTGGGGGAAGGCCGCCTTAAACTGCCAGGTACTATGGCTCAGATGTGAGTTTTAGTTGTCTTTTTTTTTTTTTTTAACTGCAACTAAAAACCCTAGACAAGTGGCTTTAAAGAGAAAAGGTGGGCCCAGCGCAGTGGCTTAGTGGCTGAGATCTTCACTTTGCACACTCCGGGATCCCATATAGGCACTGGTTCTAATCCCGGTGGCCCTGCTTCCCAAATAGCTCCATGCTTGTGGCTGGGGAGGGCAGTTGAGGATGGCCCAGAGCCTTGGGACCTTGCATCCACGTGGGATACCCAGAGGAGGCTCCAGACTTCTGGCTTCAGATCGGCTCAACTCTGGCCATGGCAGTCACTTGGGAATAAATCAGCAGATGGAGGGTCTTCTTCTTGGTTTCTCCTCTCTGTATATCTGCCTTTCCAATAAAAATAAATATTTAAGAAAAATAGAGAGAAAAGGCTTATCTAGCTTAGAATTTTGTTGGTTCATGTCCAAGATTGAGAGTGGTAGTGGTGGAGGGCATGTCCATAGGAATCACTGGGTAACTTACAAAGCCAAAGGAAACAGGCTGGGATGAACTCTTATTTTTCTAATCAACCCTCTAAGGCCACATCCTCTGTGACCTAATGGCTTCCCAATGGCACACTTCCTAGATGCCATCGTTGGATTAAGTCTCAGCCCTCTCAGAACCATTAACTTATAGCTAACTTATAGCTTTGGAATTTATAATTCTGATTGAGTTTAGGAGGCAAGCAATGTTCAGACCAAAGCAAAAGCATGTGGTTTCCAGGAAACCCCATGTGGTTCATTATGATAGAGTATAAGATGTATTTGGGAAAGGAAGAGTTTGTCAAGAGTGTAGATTCAGCCCATTAGAAAAGAAAGTTGGACCTTAAACTTAAGGCAGTAGGAACTGTAATAGTAGCTTGCACTTTGCTGGGAAGGGGCTTATGTTAGAAATTCATTCTGGCTGAAATGTGAGACTAAAAGGAAAGTGTTACATTGTAGTCAGGGAGAACAGTAAGAGACCAGTATCATAAATCAAGCAAGCTGGAGGGTCCTGGAATGGAAAGAAAAGGAGAACCTCATGGGGCAGAACTGGTAGGTTTTGTTAATTGAGATCAGGGTTCCACGAGGGGAGAGTGTAGTTGGGTGTCTCCTGGGTGGGTGATGTTTAAGATGACGTGGCTGACTGAGACCAGCTAGTTGTTATGACATGGATGAGTTCAAAACTATCACAGAAATTATTTAAGTGGAAAAAGGATACAAATATAAGTAAGACTTGATTTTGTCTATAGCGATTTTTTTTTTCTAGCTTGAGGCATGTAAAAGTTATTATTGTCCTCATTGCTTGCTTGGAAATTGGAGTCCAGCATATGGTTAAGGGCATACTTAAACTACAGTGGCATAGATAGAAATCCAACTTTTATCCTTGCTGTCTTGACCGAAGATTTTTTCCATTATTCCACGGCAAATTCCAAGTCCAGGTGTTTTAGTTCCATCTGATATGCCATTTTTCTAACAGGTCAGAAAATGAGCTCCTATAAAGAAACTGATTTTATATGTCTTAGTGATGGTGACTCAGGATCATCTTTATGTCAGAAGCCAGCGAACTGGCCCACAAGCCAAATGTGACCTGCTTCTGACCTGCTGCCTGATTTTATAATTAAAGTTCTGTTGGAATACAGCCGTGCTTGTGGCTTGTGTACTGTATTTTGCTGCTTTTGCCCTGCCGTGGGAGAGTTGAGTCATTGAGACAGAGATCATATGGCTTGCAAAATCTAAATGTTTACTATTTGGCCCTTTGTAGAAAACAACTAGGCAATCATTGGCCTACATGTTTGCTGACTAGAATATGCTTCAGCCTTAAGTTTTGCATATAAACAAAATTTGCTTTTATTATTATTGGTGACTTACTGTGATTGGGAACATAGACTCTTTTAGATTACTTTTTAGATTGTTTTTCAGAAAACAGTCCTGTGTTCCAGGAAAAATTAAGAGTCCTTGGCAGTGGGGATGTCAGGTGATCCTTGCTTCTTCCCCTTTTTGTATCTCATATCCTTATTGGTGAAAATAAGGGCTTTGAACTAGAGTCACTAAAAGCCCCTTCCAACAGTGTTGTTTGGCGATTGCTAAAATATTTTGTAATCCTTCTATTTTAGAATTAGGAATCCAAACTCGTGATGGATGGCAGCTTTCACTCTGTAGCTTTCTGAGTATCATCCTGCCTTCCTGGATCTGTGGCTAAAATGGCAAGCTTATATCAGTGTGGCTTCATTCCACACTACTCCTGCTTGCTGACTACAGTATTATTAGGAGTGTTGTGTATTATTATGGTGAATATATATGTAAGAATACGTAGAGGCTATTTTTTCTTTTAAAAATGCAACAATGTCTAATTGATAAAGGCAAAGATATTGGTTTATTTTTAAAATATTTATGGAAAAAACACAGAAGCCAGATGACAGTATTTTGTAAGTGCAAGACAATGGCATTTGGGAAGTAAACCAAATGCTTTTGTATTGAGGTGTTATTGTGATCTCTTGTGATAAAGGCTACTAATGAGCATATTTTTACGTACTCCATGCTAAAAATCCATTTATTGTTTTGTTCATTCTATATATTTCAATGGAGCACCTCATCCTAGGTCCCAGAGTTGACCAACAAAGAGAAATCAGATTGCTGCTCTTGTAAACAAGAAAATTGAGATGGAATAAGCACATGGCACAAAATTAAAAGGACTATATGCTCAGGGTAACATGGGCACTTTAGAATGGATGATTGGAAAAGGCCGCTTTTAGGAGGAGACACCTTAGTCGACATTGCATGGTGTAAAGGAGCAAATTGAAGAGAAGAACATTTGAAGAAGAAAGCTAGCTCAGAGTCCCCAGGACAGGTTTGAGCTCAGTGTCCAAGGAACCAAAAGAAAACCAGTGTGACTAATGATTAAGCAAATGAAGGGAAAATGTTCAAAATGGATGCAAGAACTAGACAGTACCAGTTCATGGAAGGCTTTGCAGGACAAAGCAAAGAATTTGGATCTTATTCTAACCCTCTGAGTTTTAAGCATGCATGCACCCAGAACATATTTACTGAATTGGCATGTGTATAAACCCCACTGTGCTATGTTCTATTGTGAGAGCAAAGATGACTTAGTTAAAATAGTATCAGTAGGTAAATTACAGCTCAGTAATACAGAAAACTGTATCCTTTGTAGATTATATATATTGTGTAGTTGACACAGTGTAAGCCAGCTTCCTATTGATGAACTAATGCTTTTGAAATCACTACTTATCTGTTGCTGGTAGATAACACATGTTCTGATTATACAATTGATTAAGTAATTTGCTGCACTAGACATTTACAGCAACAATGACTTGAAAACATGATATGTCTTTTCATTTGAAATGTAACTCTGACTTTTCTCTTGGGGTTTCTTCTGACAGCGTGTACTGGCCCTTGTTTGTGCTGATTTTCTATGCCATATCCCCCATTCCTCACTTCATCGCCCAAAGGGTCACATATGACACTGATGCGACCAGTAGTTCCTGCCGGGAGCTGGCATACTTCTTCACTACTGGAATTGTTGTTTCTGCCTTTGGATTTCCTGTTATTCTTGCTCGTGTGACTGTGGTAAGTTTTCTCTTTAGTTGTTTTGTGCAGCTGTGGCTAGGGTTCTTTCAGAGGCTTGTGTCTGGGACCTCAATTTTTTTTTGTTGTTTTGAGTGCTTTAGAGTTTTTATATCAAGGCCAAATGCATTTTTAACTTGTTTCTTCTTCATTTAGATCTACCTGTCAACATCTTGGCAATGTTTTCAGAATGTTTGCTTTGTTTCTTTTACAAATTCTAATCATGCCATATGCTTACTAGCTTTTCCTACCTAATTCTTAAATTCCTGCCCCTTAAATCTTAGGACAGTCCTTGGAGTCTGTACTAACACTGCTTTTCTAGTTGAAAAATAATGAGTGTAACAAGCACTTCTGCACATTGGCTCAGGGACTTAATACAGGAGGCAGTGTGGAGGGACAACTAGATAGCTACTAGTAGGTACTTTGAATAAGTTGGCATCATCATCTTCAGTTGAGACATTCTATAAAACACTCATTGGGGGTTATTCAGTTCTTTGATATTCACTGTTTTTCCTACTATTTACTTTGATTTTACCCAACTACATTCCTTTTCTATTTCATGAAAGTCTTATTTGGGATATTAAATATAAGAAATGTACCAGCCTCAGTTACTCATTCAGTAAATATGTTTGGAACATTTGCAGTGAGTAAAATACCAGGTATAAGAGCCAGATACTGTCTCTCCTCTTGTAGAACAGCAAAACTGGCATATGGTAAGTGTATTATAACTGTGCAATGTGTGATAATCGAGACAGTATTGGACTACATATAGTAGGAGCACCTGCAGGCCACATAAAGCTGCCAAACGATTTGATCTGGCCCTACCAAGACAGACACAGCCTGGGTTCACAAGTCTATAAATCTACAGCGGGCTGATTTTTGAGTTGATTATTCCCTGTATCCCACAAATGATGATATAAATATCTGATGGCCCTTGGCAGAAGTAAAAGATTCCCCAACCTTGGCCATTACAGCCAGAAAGGTTGTGGAAGCTGATTAGCTAAGTGCTGGAATGCCATGCCAGTTTGAATCTTAGAAAATGAAGAAACACAGAAGGTTTTTGGATAGAAGATAGTTATGGACATTTTTTTCTTATGCCTTAGATTAGCACTTTTTTCTTTAAGAGTAGCATTTCTTAAGTATTGCTGCAAATATATTTTTCCCTTTTTTTCAAGGTATAACTCATCATTTTATTTAATTTTATTTTTTACTAATTATTTTTAAAACATTTTGATTCTTTATTTTATGATGCAATTTTTATAGACATTGGGGTTTTCCCTGCCTCTCCCCCGTGCCCCCATTGTTCTCCAGTCTTTCAATAGGTGTCTTCTGAGTTATTTTTTCCCTTTCAGTGGCTCCATCATGTTTATTTTAGGAAGAATTCATGCATTGATGTTTCTGCTAGTTACATTAAGACAGAAATGCCCACTAGAGGGTACTCTCACCCCCAGCTGGGCCTTGGGAAAAGCTCCTGCCAAGCTGGAAAGCTGCCTTCATTTCTGTGCAGCTTCTTATTTAAAATGTTTCATGCCTAGAAAAGAAACAAAGAACTCTAACTCTCCAATCCCTGTTTTCTATGAAAGAAGCTAATGTACACAGTACATCTAATGCCTGATATTGTCTTTGGATTATTCATAATCTGTCTATATGTATTTTGGTTAAGACAAGTGAAAAAATAGGTCTAATAGTGGAAATGTTAAGGATTATACTAAGCTGAATTAACAAGCACCACAGAAGTACTTGTGCTAATTAATGAGCAGCTCACTGTCTCCTGCCTGTTGCATTCTTAAGCCTTTTCAGAGCTTTGTGTAATATTTCATTGGAAGCTTTTAATGGCAAAAATGCTATCAGATGTTTGCAAAGAGTGAAATATGAAAAAAGCAATGATCTAATGATTCTTTTCCTATGTTTCAGATCAAATGGGGAGCCTGTGGCCTTGTGCTGGCTGGCAATGCTGTCATTTTCCTTACAATTCAAGGTTTTTTCCTTGTATTTGGAAGAGGAGATGATTTTAACTGGGAGCAGTGGTAGCCCTTTATTCTGATAAAATGCATTGAGTTTCTTAGAATTTATATTATGTGTACACACATGGGCACATGTGGTGTTTTACGATGGAATTTAATATGCTGAATTTTTTTTATACCTTTCTATCATGATCATTTTAAGGAAGTCTTCCCGAGACTTAGTTTTATTCCCAGAAAATAGACTTTGTCATTTTCAAAGTGAAATGATGTCATTTGTTCACACAGTCCTGACTCTCAGGAAATATATTAGTACAGTCTTACAGACAGCTGTGCACTGTGGCATCTGTCTTCTTGCCCAGCCCTGGCATGGGTAGGCAGGTCTGTTTATGTGCTGCAGAGCCTTGCATTCCCAAGTATGGTCTACATGGCAAGGACATCCACTGCTCTCAGAAGCTTATTTAAGATGCAGAATCCAAAGCCCCACCCTGAACCCTGTGTATTTTAATGAAATCCAAAGTGGATCAGACACACAGAAAAGTTCAAGAGACACTGTCACCAAGGAAAAAACCTGACAGTCCACTGATTTCTTGTCTTCCCCTTGGCTGAACCACTTCACCTCTGTGGGTGTGACCTGCTCATTTACAAAAGATGTTATGAGGAGACCAAGTTCACACTGTCTTCAATGTTTGTGAAATGTTCAACTCTGTAATTTACAGACGGTCACCCTTGTAGAAAGTCTTCTCAGGGGGTAACATGTACTGCCCTCCCATCATCTCGAAGGCAGGGACTGTTAGCTGAGGTGCCTCACTGGGATGCAAGGGAAGGGGGCTGAGCTGACTCAGAGGCTGCATTAGCAGCTAGGAGAAAGAACAGATAGATCCTGCTTTCTAAGTTGGCTTTCCATCATGACATTTATCCCCTGTGTCATCCCACCCACACTCCTCAGTGGGTCCTGATGCTCTTACCTTCTCCCTGGAAAGCAATGGGAGCCAAATGAGCAGGTGGGATGAAAAGTGTTTCTTTACATGCTGATGTGCTTACTGTCTTTTGTGTCCTGTAAAACACATCACTTTATGCCACCCTTAGCTCAGTCATTGGGAATACATGTCATGCTGACTCCCAGAATCACAGGCTTGCTTTTTTAGCTTACCTTTTTGTCCAAGATCTACTGCGAAAGGGAAATACAAGAAGCAGAAGCAATAGATCAGAATATTACCAGTAGATTTTAAAGGTTATTGATGTACAATAACTGACATAAATCCACACGTTTACACCTTGACGTATGAAGTTGAAGAAGGCAGCACACCCTTCAGCTGGTGTGGTGCTGGGACCAGAAGATGAAAGTGAAACCTTGGAGGATAAAGTGCAATGTTATTATTTTTCTTCTTTTCAATAATGTCGTTTGTTCTTGTCTATGATCTTGTTTTTAATGTTCCATGTACATACAGAATTTTTATTTCCAATATTTACATTGAAGCATTATTTAGATACTTTATACTTTTAACCAGCATTTTTAATAATGACACATGTATATTGTATTGCAATAAATTTCACTTTTAACACAGAAGAAAAGATTTAGTTTTAAAAGTCTTTATTCTGATGTTGCCTTGGTACAGGAATGATATTTTGTTGGTGCATTGAAATGGGCAGTTTGAGCAACAGTCCATCCTGCAATGAAATAATGGCAGCAACTTTGAAGATACCAGTTTGGATATTCAGTTGGCTATAATAGCTATAATAGCTATTCTTTTCGTAAGATGGCAATAGAGACATCTTCATGCTACCTTTCACAAAGGTGTCTTTGTTGCACATTTAAGACCAAGGTGGTCTTAAAATGGGTGTTTAAAGAATTGCCTCTTGATTACATTCCCAAAAAGATGCACTCATATGGAGTATTTGAAGTAATAGATTTGTTCTGTGTCCAAAAAGAGAGACATATGTTCTACAGTGCTTTAGTATCATTTAAATAATAAAGACCAGTAGGAAATTATATGAATGTACAATAGGGAAGTTTAGTCCTGGTGATAGAAATCCTGGGCTTTTGTTCCTTTTTTATTAAAGGCTCCTTTTTCTTTCCTATGTACAGTAGGAAATGTTTGAAAACTGAAAGCCTGTTGATCACACTCTAAAACTGAGAATACTAACTTCAAACATTGCCTTCAAGTAAACTGTCTTAAGAAGGGAGACCTTGTGATATCACAGCTGTCACAGTGATGATTACTCAAGGGCAGACTTAGAAAGGCAATCTGTTACGGAGTGGCACTGGTGCTCTTAGTCCAACCATCCCCCTACAGGTGGGCCCATTCCTCATCCTTGTTTCACCTAGGGAGGAAGAGATGCCTGCCTGAGTTTAGGGTCTCAGTAACACACTAATGCCAACAGTTTGGTAGTACAGAAGAGAGCTCCACTTTCTTAACAGCAAAGTTTTTCCCATGGGACTTCCTCATCCCCGTTTTTGTTGCCCTTGTGGTCAAGGGGCATCTTGTGAGTTTCACTCCCATCCTGTCCCAGCTGGAGCTTGCCTGTGTTCTTGGCTGCCCCTGCTTCTCAGGTTCTTTCTGTCCCCAAAGCATCTCCTCCTGCACCCTCCAACCAGCTTTGTCTTTTAAACACTGCTTTATTTATTTGAAAGAGAGAGGGAGATACAGAGACATAGATCTTCCACCTGATGGTTCATTTCCCAGATGGTTACAACAGCCTAGGCCTTGCCAGGTCTAAGCCAGCAGTGTCATCCAGGTTTCTTATGTGGGTGACAGAAGCCCAAGCACTTGGGGGGCAACTTTTGTTACTTTTCCCAGGTGCATTAGCGGGGAGCTGGATTGGAAGCAGAGTAGTCAGGACACAAACTGGCCCATGTTCTGGATGTTAGCTTTGTAAGTAGCAGGCTTTAAATGCTAGACTGTTCTAATCAGTCTTCCAAGTGCAGCTGATAACCACGTGGTGTTGAAAAGAAAGCAATCAGATCAAACTTCTTTACAGGAAGAATGAATGGAGCTTTTACCAGTGCCTGATTTGGCCATCACGTAGTGCAGCTGTTTCTGTCAGCAGTATTTCCAAGTCAATGGCAATACATTCCAGCAGTAAATAGGAGGATGGGCCTGACCTATGCCACCCCTTCCTGGGGGGAGTTCTCAGCCTGGTTTGCTTTTCACAGTTGTGTCTCCTCTACTTAGGAACCACTAGGTTCTTCTTACAGCCCTCAGACGTCCTTACTTCCAAGATGGCCTCCACAAAGCTTGGAGGAACTGACACGTTAGTGACATGCCTTGTGCTTTTGGGGAAGTACACAAATGGTGGTGTCACAAAACTCAGCCTTTTCAAAAAACCCCTTTTTTCTTTTTTTAAGTTGAGAAAGCAGAAAGAGACAGACACTGGTATATAAGACACTCCCAACTGCTGGTTCCGTCCCCATGTGGCTACTACAACTGGGACTGGGTCAGGCCATGACCAGGGGACTCAAATATAAACCAGATCTCCCACCTGGGTAGCAAGGTTCCAAGTACTGGAGGCATCACACGTTGCCCACTAAGGTGCACATTAGCACAACACATGAATCAGAAGCAGAGCCGAGCTTTGAACCCCGGGCACAACAATATGGGTTTGAACATCCCAGGTAGTATCAACTAATGTACCAGAATATGTACCATATAAAAGTCAGATTTCATACCCTAATAGATTGTAACCATTTATAAGCATGCAAACATTTTCAAAGCATAGTAATTAGTTCACAACTGGAGTGTATTAGCTTTTTACATGAATATATTATGTGTTTTAATTTCCCTTTTTCCATTCTGCCTCATGAATATTTAATTGCAAGAATTCAGTGAGTAATGGTTCATGAGCTGTAATCTACTTTTTTTAAAAAAAATTATTTTTATTGGAAAGTCAGATATACAGAGAGGAGGAGAGATAGCAAGGAAGATCTAACATCTGTTGATTCACTCCCCAAGTGGCCACAATGGCTGAAGCTGCACCAATCCAAAACCAGGAGCCTGGAGCTTCTTCTGGGTCTCCTATACGGGTGCAAGGTCCCAAGGCTTTGGGCTGTCCCCTACTGCTTTCCCATGCCACAACAGGAAGCCTGCATTAGAACCAGTGCCCGTATGGAATCCTGGCACATGCAAGGTGAAGACTTTAGCACTAGGCTACCCTGCCAAGCATGGGGCCCAAATCACAGCAAGAAGCTGAATCAGAAGCTGAACAACCAGGACTCCCAAGACTCAAACCAGGCACTTAAGAGCTGTAGGCATCCTAGGGGCCAATTTATCTGTTGCATTAAACTCTAGCCCCTAGGTACATGATTAAATAATTCTATTTAGTATAAAAAAGAGTTTATAGTTTACTTTGGCATACATTGTATTTGGGAAGGAAATGAGAACATTCATTTTTTTCTAGAATTTTTGTCTGGATAATCTAATAATGAATTTGTATTTGAGCTTGTGCTTAGTGTAGTTGAAGAGAAGTAGGTGAGGAATGTTCTGCTGCCTGGAGGCCATCCAGGCCTTCATTCCAACTAAGCATGAAGTTAAAGTTTTAGTAAAAGAGTGATAAAAAAAATAGCATAACTATAAGAAATCTCAAAGGAACTTTTAATCATCTATTCATATAGGTGATCATTTTGAAATAATTATTCATTTTCACTATTGGCCATAGAGGCAAAATGGTCCTGATCATAGCATTGCACGTTTGGAGAACATTCCTGCAGACTGCACATTAGCTCTTCACTTGATTATACAAAATTGAATAATTTAAGATCTTAACCAAATGTTACACTTATTAACTTTTTTTCTCAAAATAGTTAAATAATAAAAGCTTTGGTTCAATGTTAGCCAGCTAATCATTTCCCTTTATAATGTCAAGCATAAATGTATGCGTGGCTTTAGTTATAACACTTCCATTTTATTTGAGAAACAAATCATGTCACCCTGTTCTGTGAAGAATTGACTGACCAAGGTTTGCCTCAGATCTGTGGACCTCTTGCCCCAACACCCTCAGGATTCCCCATCACGTTCAGCCATCCTTGCTGCAGGCCCCAGTTTGGTGGTTCCTCTACAATGCTTTTGCTAAAATTAGCTCACTGTTGTTGAAAATGAGCTAACGGGATTTAAACTGAGGCTTGGTTGATTCAAGATGCCAAATGTAGTCTTGACAGTGCATCTCACAGTGGTTCCGTTGCTGACTCACTGCAACCTAAGCCCCGCCTCTGTGACCGTGACCCTAACATTCTCTGTGCATAGTGCTTTCTGTGATGGAAACCAATACTGCCTTGAGATCAGCCAGCCAGAGGCTGCAAGCACAGACACCAGGATTTATCAACTGGCCAGTAAGGGGAAGTTGAAGGCTGTAGGAGAAATGTACCTAGAACATTTTTGACCTGAGATGTATCAATAAGACACATCAATAAAAGTGCCGCATAAAACACATTTATAAGAGATAATTAGTAGTGTGAGGAATTGTAAGATTAATGTGCTTCCAACAAATTTGAGATTTAGATAATGGAAAATTATATGTATTATATGATAAAGAACACATTTTTATTTAACAAAAACCTCTCCTGCTCTTTCCCTACTGAGTCTTGATGATTTCCAGCTGCCTTATCTCTATAAATACCTTTTCGATGCAGCTGACTCACACTGTAATCTTCAGCCCACACTTGTATAAACCCCAGAATTGTGTATCCAACTGCCAGTAGGGCCTCTCCACTGGAAAGGCTAAAATAACCTCAAATTTAGCATATCCAAATTTAAGCTCTTGATATTCCTCCATTGTTCTAGTTTTCAGGCCTAAAGGCTTAGAGTGATTGAGCATGTCTCCTTATTGCCCAACCCATACCTAATCCATCAGGAGAAATTGTTTTTTATAGTCTGAAAATATATGCATAACCAAGACAGATGTTCAGTCAAATGGTTAAGTTGCCCATATCCCATATCAGGTGAGTCCTGGCCTTCGTGGGTATTTGAAGAATGAACCAGTAGAATGAAATTCATTCTGACTATGTCTTTACCCCTCAAACA